GAAGCCAAAGCGGCCTTGGAGTCGTAGCTGCTGAGCCATTTTTTGAGTGAACACTTGCTTGTCCAGGTTACGCCCCTTCGTTTTACGCACGCTCGCGTAGCGTAATCCAGTGAACGTTACGTATCTACTTGCGTCACCAACTCTTGAGTGTGTTGCATGTTGCCTGACCAATAGTAGGAGGAGAAAATTGTACATCATATATAATATCATGAAAATTGAAAAAACATCGGCTATTTTATTACTACAACACTAATCCGATGTCGACGAACTCTGACCTTTCCCCCTAAGAAGGCAGCTGAGTACGCCATCAGTCAGAGACCCTACAAATGAATTGAGCATGCCCGAGGTGGCGAAAATCCCGCCCACAATTCCACACAGTCGTATCAGAAACTGCCAGAGTGGTCTTCGAGTCTCCTGGACCTCGACCATGAGTGGACTCATGTCGTACTTGAAGAATATCCCGGCCATTCCGTGGCTGCCTTGCCTGTGGTCGATGGTTCTGTTCCTCTCTCTCACAGAGTACTGGTTGGTAGTCAGGTAGTTGTGGAGTGTTCGAAACTTCGTTGGCACTAACCTGCAGAGCAGAATAAACAAGTGAAGAATATTTCTTCAAATGAGGTGCAATGGGTTGGATTGGAAAGCAAAGTCAGCCCACATGGTTATTTGAATTGCGCAATAGTGAACAAGGCACTCTCTTCACCATAACTTCTCAAAACAGAAACCTTTGCACTTGTGCTTGCTTGATGCATGCCCCATACATAAGGAACACCTCTGAATAAAGGAACTTTTGATGTCTTCAAAGTGTCACTTGTTCAGAGGATCCACTGTATGAGCTCTCACCTGTAGGTAGTACTGGAATTGGTGGTTGCGATCTTCCACTAGTTTGTGGCGGCGTCAAGGGGATTCAGAACACCAGGAATGGGCGGGCCGAACGCCAGCTGGTCGATTCTGTGAGAATAGTTTACAGCGCCGTGAGGAACGTTCATCGTCAAGTGGGCGTGGCCCTGAGGGTGAGGGATCGAGCGACCGGTCGTAATGTGGAAGTTCCCAGCCACCTTCTTCACGGGGAAAGCCCCGTGGAGTCTGCATGCCTGCCCATCTCCTCCTTCTTCACTCCCTGAGGCATCTTGATGTCTCGTATACCTTCAATCACTGTCAAATCTCCCAGGGCCTTGGCGTGGTTGTACTGCTCCTGCAGACGCTGCTTCGCTCGTAGTACACTCGCCTGCAGCTCGCTCAGTTGGAAACTGACCGGATCCATTTTTATCACGTCGTGCAGTTGCATGCTCTCGCCCGCGTGGTCTATGAGGTCGGCCCCAAGATGTCTGCACGCCATGGCTACCGTCATGTCTATCGTGACGAGCAGTTGGGCCTCCATGTCGGTGTCGACGGAGTACTTGTAGCTAGTCTCCGTCCCGCGGTAGTAGAAGAATTCTGACACCACCAGTAGGGAGATGATGGAGAGGGAGAGGAGAGAGAGAGTTCCTCCGCGGCTTGTGGGTTTGGCGCAGTCATCCTCTACTTTGGGGAAGGCGTCCAGTTCTCGCACGACCTTCAGCGCCGAAGATCTCCTCCGTCTCATCTTGATCTCACCTTCTTTGTCTAACTTTGGTCCTCGCGCGGGCTCGCACTATACTCGCAAACCTTGACCTCGCGACAAGAGGTCACACATCTCCGTCAAACTCTCCGGATTCCTCCGCTTACTTTCACATCATGAAATTTTACTTCATAGAGCATGAATCTTTTACAAAAATACATGAAAACATAACACACACACATAAGACAAACAACAGCCAAACTGAAAAAATATAAAATATTTATTCTAGATGAATTGATAGCATTTTTGAAGGTTGCTAGGGAGACGGGTCTTGAAAAGCACCGAGTCGACTCTGAACTGTGTGTAGAGGAGGGGCATGTAACCATAGATACCGGTGAGCTGCTTCATGCACACGTGACGTTCCTGGAAATGAGTGTCGTCCGTGGAGAGCGTATCCGGGCAACCGGGGCAACGGAATGTCCAACGAGAGTCACCTGGAGGAAATCACCATTAACATACAAGACACAAGGTTGCACACACATCAAATAGAAGAACATGTCTTGATTACAGTAAAACCTCTAAAATGGACTCTCTGAACTGGTTCATATAAAGACAACATCCAAATAATAGAAAGAGGTATAGAAGAAAAGTATCTACTATCTAGTCGGATAAAAATGTTACAAGCATAAGGGTGACGAGGATGTCTAAAGGAAACAATGTTCCTAAAGTGTCCCTTAATCAGAGGTTTCACAAGCAGTGTGTTAAAATCTTACGTGTGCTGGAACTCAATTATGTTACCAGTGAATAAACTAAACAAAATTAACAAACTGTGCCAAAGTTGCACTGCACAAGTTCATGATATATATACACAATGAGGCGTACCTTGAGGGGAGGTTTCCTGGTGACGTGTGAGACGAGAAAGTTCATGGCAATGTCTTCGCAGTTCATGTACTGGTCCACCATGTCCCTCACCTCCTGAGGCATCCAGCTAGAGTACAGGTAGGAATAGATCTGAGGGAGACAGAGAGGGGATGGGGAGATGAGAGGGAGAGAGATGCGTGTGAAAAATATTGAACTGCTCGATGAGAGGGAGACAGAGAGGGGTGGGTCACTAGCGCTCATCGTCAACAATGCATTGCATTCCTCTAGTAGTATACAAATGCATGTGTACCTTGTGGAAGAAGGCAGCTCCTGTCAGAACCATTGACAGCTCACACGTATAGTTAGAGTTGTACAACCAGGTCTCGTGTTTGAGGTCGTAGGCATGGAAAACACCTGGGAACCCCACGATCCTGTCCCTAGCTTCACGCCATACTCTGCACCAACAGAGATATTTCACAGAGCCAATTAGAGCCAATTACTAGGGACAGACGTTAGTTAAGGAGAAATGAAAAGCACTGAGTGCAAACCCTCGGCGCATTGTGACGCGCACGCGTGAGTAAACGCATGCGCTGTATCACTAATTGATGGGCTGGGTTTAGTTCTGGCTGTTACTCCTGGTCTCTAGCCATCTCGCCAGAGTCTGACGCGGGCTAACTACACTACTAGATAGCATGCGAGAGGCGATGCATCTTCTGGTGCCTCCGAGGTCGCAGAGCACGCTGATCGATCAGGCCCATCCGTCCGTTGCGTATTTGCATATTGGCTTTTTCGTGCTCTAGCTTTGCAACGGAGCATTTTCAGAGAAAACCGTCTTTATTTTCTGACCTTCGTCGCGCCGTTGGGTAGAGGTATCGTTCTGGGACGAACAGACGTTCGAGGAGTGAGATGTAGACTAACAGACAAACAGACAAACAGACGGACAGACGACCCAACTACTGTACCCTCGCTGCGCATGCGCGCCGAGGGTAATAAGTAGAGGTAATTGTACCACATGTTGTGAATATGAGTTCCTAAACCCTACTTCATGTTCTCTTTATCTAGCTCCAAACTCTTGTCTTTCCCCCTATTTCTCTCCATAATTTTCGTCTTTCACCGCTACTATCTCGCTTAATACCTTCCTTATATATCACCAAAACTTTGTGTTTCCCCCACCTTTATGTGTATTATCGATCCCACATGGAGTGTGGATTAGTTCTCTGTAATTATACTAACGATAGAGGTTCTCCCCCTCACCTGAAGGCAAATTGTATCTCATCTGGTCGGAGATGCACATCGTCATCGATAGACAAGACAGCCTCAGTCTCTATTTCTTTGAATGGCAGAAATCTATTGTTGAGACTGTTGCCTTTGCCACGAACAACCTGAAGGAGAAGGAGAGAGAGAGAGAGGAGAGAGAGAGAGAGAGAGGAGAGAGAGGGAGAGAGAGAGAGAATGGATTACAGTACAATAAATGTAGCGTGTGGATGGACTAGAAGAAAAGAACGGTGGAAATGCTCTGAATAACCGACACCTTTGGGCATCGAAAGTGAACCTCTACCGTGCAACTCGTGCGTGTGATTTCGTGTTCCGTCAGGTGCACTTTGTCCAGAGTGTCACTACGCTGGCATTCCACGTTCCAGAGACTAGGTCGCTCGCTCTTTCCTCCCTACATCGTCATTACCATGCACACTTCACTATGTCGATAGGCAGGTGTTGGATCGTAATACCTTGAACTGCCAATACAATTTTGTTTCATGCTTGAGACATGCTCACGCTACTGCGGTTTTGACGTACTGCTCATTTGCCAGCACGTCTACTAGAGCAAAACACTTTACTTTAATAATTTTGCGATTATATGACACGTGAACCGTGTAAATCTCAAATGTATGGGGTCGTACTGCTGATCCGGATCCCTATCATACTACGTACTCTTGCCAGCCCTACACACTGAAAGTACACCTCAGTCCTCAAGGGGCACTCCGATGTCGGGCCATTCAAAGCAAACCCCGGTGGCGTGTTACTGGTTGTTCCCACAACCACTACCATTATGAGAACGCCACATCATCCAGTGTCTCCCCAGTGCCTCCATCAGCACCTTGTTTCCTCTGTGCGTCAACATCCCTCACGGTGAACTGCTCACTCGTGGGGCATCCCTAGTACTACGTCTTCGAAATGGTCCCGGTATCGCCTGCATCGACATGCATTGTAGCGGGAGACGCCCTCGATCCGCTCTCTCCGTCCAAATCGCTCAACCACGGTATCAGAGAGCCGCGTTTGACGTGGAGGGTAGACATGAAGGTACCGGAGGCTCGTCCTGAAAATCCCAAGAGTACTTTGTGAATTGTAGTGTGAGGAGATGCGAGGGCGTACCGCTTGTTACGCATCGTCGATTTCGACACAGCAGAGACATCGCCTCTATCCGAAACAGAGAAACCCTAAGGAGATTAGGACAGAGGAGAGAAGAGACAGATTTTACAACAAGAAAAGTAAAAGGCCTACGAATTCGGGAGCGAGGGGAGGTGGGTGGAGCGTTCGGGATCTCACCATGGCAACGGTAGTCTTGACGATGGCGAGGGGAGAGCTGAAGTAGGTGTGCCAGAGATTTCTGCCGTTGAGACGAAAATTTTGTATATCGTCTCCACTCACGCTGCGCAGAATGTAGTGAATGTCTGAAAATCCGCTGGCAGGGATGGAGATGGCCGCCAGACGCCAATCAATTACCTCGTCAAACCGGAGCGTCCCCATTCCAATGAGGACGGGAATGGACCCACAGATGAGGGACTCTATTAGTCTGGTATAGAGCGCCACGCCAGCCTGGTCCCCAGGTCCACCTGTGCTTGGAACGAGGGAAAACGTTGAATGGGAACACAGCTCCAGTCGCGAACTCTGCCCTCCACACAGCATCCCAAGCTCGCCTCATTGCAACCGTCACCGCCTTGGGTCACCAGTGTTCAGGGCACCGCAGCTCGATATCAATCTTCTCCCTCCCGTCCAGTGCCTGCTGGAGACTCTTGACGTCCGCAGGGGCCAGGGAGCGGTGGCCTGGTGACGAGAGCGTATCTCGACAGGGGACGTGGAAATAGATTAGAGTTCTCTCTCGACACCGGAGGAGGAGGGGGGCAGGTCTGTCGTCCACGTCAACGTCCGAAGATCGGAGCCTAGAGATTAGTTACGGGTAAAAGGAGAAGAGAAGGATCGTCGAATCCGATCGACACGGTGTTGACCGTGGAAAAAGGAGACGATACTACGAGGCAAATAATGCGCATACGCCGAGACGATACTAGCATGGTCCAGCGAGCGGACGCGACGTGCTTCTAGATCTGGTGGATAGTTTGCGAGCGAGAACGTGAGTAGCACGCTGAGGGCATCGCCACCGGAAAGAGGCAGTGTGGCCGAGGATAGTCTTGGTCTCGGAGATCTACGCGGCATGTGCTTCCCCGGAGCTGGCTACGTTTTCAAAGATGGCCCAAAACACGGGCACCAGCGGTGTCGACGGTGAAGAACTGTTCGTTTCAAGTCTGTTACGAATCAGTCACGACCGGTTACCGTGGCCGTAGATGAACGGGGAAGAGGTGGGGCTTGCCTACGATGTCGGACACACACGGAAACGGACGGAGTGTGAGTGGACACCTGGCATCTAGTTGAAACAGAGGCAAGGGTACCGCGAGAGACTGTGCGTCGTCCAGCAGGCGGCTCCGCGAGCGGGGCGAGATCTGAGATACTTGACATTTGTTCCCGCAGGTAGGACGATGATAGGCGCCATGCTCGCCGCTGTCTGGTAATGGGTCCAACCTTGTCGTAGAAATCCTATTCACCTTGACAAACTTGCCCCCGCTTGTCCTGGAGATCCTCTTAGCGGCAGTGAGCTCCTTCTTGAAGCGGGCGAGCTCTCCGTGCGACTCGATATCTGCGTCAGTTTCGATCGCTGCTGCTCGAACACTCGCAGCTCGCTCGCACGAGGAGCGAATGTCTTCCAGCTCCCTGATCTGTTGTCGAGTTCGCTGGCTTCCCGCAGGTCGGGGTAGTCCAGCGCTTTCGCTCGTTGCGTGCTGAACGGTGAAGGGACGGTCGTGTAGTAGTTTGGATCGTTGAGTCCACGTTCACTGTCACCACTAGCAGTCCGACACGGGACCACCACTCGATACACCAACAGGAGGCACGGGATCCTCCAGGTTAAAATACTGCGGTACACAGGAGAGCCCGATCACTGAGCCGCCAGAGTAACAAGAACGCTGGCAGCTCCAGCAAATACTATCTAATTGGTGCACACTCTATCTGCGCGGCGGCGCGGCGACGCTTAAATTTACGTCCTCCAAGACGCATGCGCAGTTACCTAGAAGTACGGGTGTGCCACAGCTAGTGCAGCAGCTATACTAGACAGTAGAGAAACTGCCTTGGTTTCTTGCTCTTCGTGGGTTAAGACGCCGTTTTTGATCTCTAGCGCTGATTCTGCTGTATGTGTTGCTGCCGCGTGAAGGGCTGGTCCGGCCTCGCGGCGCCGCTCCTTACGTTGCTGAAGACTGGTGTGCCCGGCGTAGCAATCTCTGATCAGGGGGGTGGTGCGCGGGGAGAGAGAGCGCGCGGTTGGATCTGAGACAGCTGGCGAGAGAGAAGGAGAACGCGCCGCGGCGCGAAGAGAAGCGGTAGAGAGAGGACGACGAGAGATCGAGAAGAGCAGACGATGCAGCTCCCCGAGAAAGGTGATCCTGTGCATGACAGCGCATGTGACGTCGCGATTTAGAGCTCTACAGTGGGCGGGGCTCGCATATGCGATGCCTGCACATTACAACAAGAAGCGCTCTATGTCGGAGTTCACGTCCATTTCAAGCAATTCCGTACATCAGTATTGCGTACCAGACCTGGAGACTGCGACAATCCACATTGATACCATGTGTGCATATTTTGTGTGTGCAATTATCAATGAACAGTCTTTTGGTTACGCAGCAACACCAGATTCAATGGCTACCAATATTTCTAGTTATACAGTAATTACAACGTCCTGTGATTGATTTGCAGGGTTGAGTAAAGAAGAACTGATTCAGGAGCTGAAAAAGAGGAAGAGAGTTGAGACCGACCCTCATGCAGGGAAGATTTTCGCATACGTGTACACCAGGGAAGGCGGAAAGTTCGACGCCGTGGAAACGGCATTTGACATGTTTGAATTTGGAGACAATAGTAGTGCAGACGAAGAAGATGGAGAGGAAAAAGGAGCGAGAGAGGGAGGGAGGGAGGGAGAAGAAGGAAGGGGAGAAGAGGGGGAGGGAGTGACAGGAGAGGGGCAGGAGGGAGAGGGAGAAGAAGGAAGGGGAGAAGAGGGGGAGGGAGTGACAGGAGAGGGGCAGGAGGGAGAGGGAGAAGAAGGAAGGGGAGAAGAGGGGGAGGGGGAATCACCAGATAAGAAAGAGATTAACAACAAATTAAAAGGTGAGACCTCGTAACAACATTTTCAAACACAACTGATGATTTTTATGATTCACTCAGCGGCGCTGGTTCGAATGTTTTACCACGCCTTCCTCCACGAGAATGCCCTCAACCCCATGGTGTTCCCAAGCCTCGCTCGCTTCGAGACGGAGACCGTTGCCATGGCAGCGGGGATGTTGCACGGCAACGAGAGGGTAGTGGGTAGCGTGACGTCAGGCGGGACTGAGAGTATTCTGATGGCAGTCAAGACCTACAGGGACAGGGCCCGGGACCTATGGCCGCACATCACTCAGCCCGAGATGGTATGATTTATCGTTTAAGAACAACTTCACTTAATTTCAAACCCACCAGTCATAAACGTGGAGTCTAAATCTCATAGATAACCAAGTGAACGTGGAAAACATTTTGCGACACAATACATACTTTCAAGGAATTTCTTTTAAGAATCTTTCCTCGAAAGAATGCTTGATATCGAATGGCATGGTGACATTGCAAAGTAGGGGTGGCCTAAATATTTCGTACTTTTAGCAGGCAAGTGGGGGGAAGGACAGGCCAACCAACCACCCTGAATACCTTGACTATAGCTGGAGAATGCAGTGGAAGTAATAGGGTGGCCTAAACTTGTACTTTTAGCAGGCAAGTGGGGGGAAGGACAGGCCAACCAACCACCCTGAATACCTTGACTACAGCTGGAGAGTGCAGTGGAAGTAATAGGGTGGCCTAAACTTGTACTTTTAGCAGGCAGGTGGGGGGAAGGACAGACCAACAAACCATCCTGAATACCTTGACTATAGCTGGAGAGTGCAGTGGAAGTAAAGGGTGGCCTAAACCTTTTGTACTTTTAGCAAGCAAGTGGGGGGGAAGGACAGACCAACAAACCATCCTGAATACCTTGACTATAGCTGGAGAGTGCAGTGGAAGTAATAGGGTGGCCTAAACATTTCGTACTTTTAGCTAGCAAGTGGGGGGAAGGACAGACCAACAAACCATCCTGAATACCTTGACTATATCTGGAGAGTGCAGTGCAAATAATGTAGGTTTCTTCTTAACCCTTTATCTCTCTTCTCTCATTCTTGATCCTCATGACTGCAGGTAGCACCACAGACCATCCACCCGGCATTCGAGAAAGCCGCCAGCTACTTCAACGTGACCGTGGTACACGTCCCCCTGAACCCTGACCTCACTCCCAATATGGCCGCCTACGAGAAGGTTTGTCTGCCTCTAGTTTGTACTCAGCGACGTCTCTGAAAAAAGACCCTCTGAATAAAGACACCTCTCTATAAAGGACACTTGGTTCAGCCCCATACTATAATATAGGGACACCTCTCTATAAAGGACACCTCTGAATAAAGGACACATTCGATTCTCCTAAGGTGCTCTTTATTTAGAGGTTCCACTGTATGTCTCAGTTCTGAAGTGTCTTCCTCCCACCTCCCACAGGCAATATCAACCAACACCATTCTCTTGCTGTGCTCAGCTCCAGAGTACTGCTATGGAATGGTGGATCCAGTCCCCACCATCTCCGGACTAGCCATCCGACATAACCTCCCACTGCACGTCGACGCCTGCTTTGGCGGATTCATGCTGCCTTGGTTAGAGAAGACATTTTAGGAGAAGAGAGAGGGGTGGGGGGGAATGGTTTGTTCTTTATTTTCCGAGTTTATCCCAGGGAGATAAGTTTGTTTCTCTTTTTTAGTCAAGTTCATACTACGACATTGTGCTTGAAGCCATGGCAGCCCCTATGATTGAAAACTCTGGCCACCCCTGGCTTGCTATGTGTGGTAGTGAAGCAAAAAAACACACGGAAATGAGAGAAAGATAACAACTGATAATTTTGACGTAACGATTACCATTATTAATAGGTGAGGCATGCACAGAACCTCATAACAGTTTACATTCCTCAAATTCTTTGTGGAATGATGAGCATTGGCACGACAGAGGAAATCCTCTGAGAACATGGGCTAGGGCTATAATAGGCATGAGGAAGTAAAAAATTTTCTGTGTCAAGAATGTCGCGTGCATTTTCATTCTGTGACTGCTGCTTGCCAAGTATGGAAACACGTGTACGTAACTCATTGTTAGCTTTCGCCTTGTGCCCTTGTGACCTTGTTGCTGTTTACATTGTAATACACTATAGTATCTATGGTAATAGAGAGACTTGTGTACACTGCACATCATGTCAACACTGGAGCAGGAAATTCTGTCATACTGACATGAAAGATAGCACATTGCCCGGAAATGCAATTAGCAGGGCTGCCAGTTCTTTTGGCTTCCTTTCTATCCATATTTGGTATTGCTCCAATAGTTTGTTTGTGTAATTGCAAACACGAGTCATGTTTACTTAGAATATCTACCTACAGACTCTGTTGTTATGTCAAATTACGTAATGTTTCCGCCCAGGGTCGAGAAACTTGGCTATTCGTTGCCTGAGTTTGACTTTCGGTTGCCGGGGGTAACCTCCATGTCAGCAGACATACACAAGTACGGTCTCGGAATCAAGGCAAGTACTAGCGGCAGTTCAGTCGCGTTCCAATTCCACCTTGTCACGTCTCTGTTCCGTTCCGCAGGGGGCGAGTGTGGTACTGTACCGGGACGAGACTCTGAGGAGGTATCAGATATTTGCCTATGCCGAGTGGCCTGGTGGGCTCTTTGGGTCACCCAGCATGGCTGGCAGTAGACCAGGTACAAACATACCAATAGTGCATAGCGTGTTTAAATTGAGAAATCTGATTGGCCCATATATACGAGGTTTTTGATTTCCCGTAGAAAACAAAGTTTTTCATTACACGAGAATGAGAAGTTCCAGAAATGTCTAGCTTTATCATCTCATTTATGTATTACGCCTCTTAAATAAAGGACGCTGCTAAATAACTTTACGTCCCTGTAAATGTCTCTCAGTGGAAAACTTTCAGTTGAGAAATAATATATGTGAAATTGGAGGCAAATGGAGCGTGAAGGACTTTCGTAACTCTCAACCTCCAAATTCACGTACATACAAGTTTGTCCTTTCACAGTGCTCCACAACAGTAGCATGTGGGCCAACAGTACCCTGTTACTCTCAACCCCCCTGCCCCCTGCCCCCCCTGCCCCCCTCAGGAGGGATCATAGCAGCCTCGTGGGCAATCCTACAAGCCATGGGTGTGACGGCTACACAGAGATGGCGCGGAAGTTGATGGATGTGACTTTTGCACTCAAACAGGGCATTGCAGCCATTCCTGTGAGATTGGCTGTCTCATCTCTCCAGATCTTACGGTTTTCTTGTTTTTCGTCCAGGGTTTGAAGGTGTGTGGGTCGCCGGTAATGACGGCATTCTCTGTAACGTCATGTGACAGTCAGGTGTCTATCTTTGCCGTTGCCGACGTAATGGAAAAGAACGGTACGTCACATAGCACGACACAACCCTCATTCTGCCACCAAAGGAAGTGTCCTAAATAGCGAGGGTTCCTTATTTCAGGGTTTAATTTGCACGTCAGAATGTTCTTGGGAGAAAAGGCTGTCCTAATTCAGAGGTGTCCTCATTTTAGTTGAGAGGTGTTGAACGGTAGTGATTTTTCTTCGCCTCTCGAAGGTTGGACAATGGAGCGCCAGATGGATAGTCTCCATTTCTCCATCCTCCCCTCACACACTCCCGAGAGAGCTCAGCAGCTGCTTTCTGCTCTCAGAGAGGCTGTCACCACTGTCAAGGTGTCCTCGTCTCTCCCTCCCTCTCTCTCCTTCTCTCTCTCTGGACCCTCTACGCTCTCTCTCTCCCCTGCTCATTAAAATAGAGGGTGAAATTTCACAATTCACAATGTTTGCCTTTTTTTACGAGTTCACATCTTTCACATCTCTTCCTCCCTCGTCTCTCTTCTGAATCCAGGCAAACCCCGCCCTCTCTCGTACTGGGTCAGCCGGTCTCTACGGCATGGTTGCTAAGATACAGACAGGCGGTCGTCAACGACTTCATCCTGGAATTCTTAACGAGCTCTACACTCTCTAACTCTGCATCCCTGTGTGACTCGTTTGTGCAAGAATGCAATTAGGTTTCCGTTTTTAGTAACATTTTCTAAATTTAGCCTTATCAATTACATTCCCTTTAACGTCAAATTGTAGTTTAACTCTAAATTATCGGGAAAACACGATACCTCACAACATTGCTGAATCACACATGTATACACACAGTTTCAGAAGACGTAAGGTGCATCATTTGATGGATGTGCATAAGGGGCGATATAAAGAGCGGAAGGAAGAGGTATAATTATGGTGTATAATATAATACATACATGACATAATGTTGACCACACCTAAGGAACAGTGAGGATGTTAGGAGGGAAATCCCCCAACCAGGGGTGTTTTCCTCCCATAGTTCCAATTACATGACGACCTGCATATATATACAAATAGTGGCACTATGCATGCACATGAACACGTAACAAACAAGAGTGTGCTAGAAATTACAAACTTCCACACTGTCCCATGCTAAACGACACGCCAATTACTACCTCTTGGTAGAACTGCGTTTGCCTGTAGTGAGAACGACAGTGTACATGTATGTAGTGTATACATATGTATGACCCTAAATAGTGGAGTTGAGTGTTCAGAAGATGTGGATGCAGGGGATTGCTGGATCGGCCACTATAACGTTCCCCTGACCATCCACGCAGACACTGCTCGGAGATTTAAACAGCATTCCCTCGCCACCCAGCTGCTTGACCTTTGCACCCTGCGGAGACACGACAAAGAGGAGGTGTGCCTTGGCCGACGTTACTAGGGAGAAACCCGTCACGGTCGACGGCAACAGACGTGGGGCTGATTAGAGGGACTTCCCCGCCCTGCCCGAAGGCAGCGATGGGCTCGAGGGTTGCCAGGAGACGCAGAGGAGGCAGTTGTAGCCGGCGTCGGTGATGTAGAGACGACCTCTGACCTCATCGACGCCACTCCCTGTGTACAGGTAGAGTTTGACAATAATGATACATTTCTTCCGTAAGAGTCAAGAAATTTGACAGATTGTTTTTGCACAGTCAGAAGTAAAACAACTACTGGAGCGAAGATTGTGCATAACAAGTTTCAAGTCTTAACTCCCAGGCTTGTGGAAATAATCAGCCTAACCGATTTTCTGAAAGACCTTTGTTTGGCAGCCATTTGTGTCACATGACGATCACATGGTTTAATATTAATTGATCACTTGGATCAGAAAGATTGCGGATCATTTTGATATGTTTCTCGTGTGCACAGCATATAGTATGGCCGAGTAATGGACCAAAATGTTAAAAATCCCAAAATTCTGTCTCTTTATGCAAAGCACTGTAGTGAAAGTTTCAAATGCTTGCTACAACCATTCGCATTTTCAGTGTCCATTCAGCTGCACTCTATAGCTAGCTGTATATAGTATTGTGAAAGTTGGAAGTTAACATTATGATGTCATCAAAATCTGTCCTTGATCGAGTCATGGTAGTATCTAAGAAATTGATGGCACATGCTCCCTCCCTCCCTCCCTCCCTCTTCCAAACCTGGGGTTCTCTTAGCTGTATTCCGTCGGGCACACCTCGACCTCCAATGACCTTGAATTTACCACTCTTCAACGACATCGCCTGTAACACACCAGGATAGTAGAAACTTAATACATTATTCAATTTGAAGCAAGCCCATCTGGTGATGTAATCTTGGGCAAATGCATAATGCGAACATTATGATTGTACATTAGTTGAAAGGTCAACTTGCTCTGTCCACTTAACTTGTATCTATGTATAATTATACATTTCTTCAACAAAATGGTGTTGACCGCACCTCAGACTAGATTCCTGTTAAATCCCACACTTTTTATTACATTAGACAACAAATTACTAACGAGAGAGAAGTGTAGCCAACTACGTAACTCACAGGTTGATTGGCCAAAAACTCTAATAGCTACTATTCACCTAAATTTGCCAAACTAGCACATTGTTTCAGATGTAAATTAACCCCATGTCCACTGACCTGGATGCAGTTGTTGCCCGTGTCAACCACAAACAGTCTGTCGGTTGTCACGGCGACGGACTCTGGATGCCTCAACCCCCCGCTGCCTCTTCCCTGCCTCCCGTACGATCCAACGACCCTGCCGTCAGGAGCCAATTTGGTTATCTTGCAAGCCTGTCTGTCAGCTATGAAGAGTTCGTCTTTGCTGTTGGCTGTGTGATTCCAATGGGCATACTGAACAGGCCACTGGGTGACCTGCCAGGCCGATGGCTCTCTTTTACCAGCCTGCGGGGAAGAGAGAGAGGAGGGAGAGAGAGGAGAGAGAGAGAGGATAAGGGAGAGAGGGTGAGGGAGAGAGGGAAGGAAGAGAAGGATGGATGTGAGAGTGTGTATGAGAGAGTGGGTTGTTTGCACTCACAAAACGGTGCATGAAAATAGACTTACTGCAAGCAACATGGACCAACCATACCATAGTTTTGTCTGGCACAGAGGCCAAGCTGTGCATGTAAAACATAGGGCCCAGTGCAAGAATGTAATTAGGTTTCGTAATAGCATATGTACAACTGTCTCTCTCTGTCTTACCTCAACCCCTCCAGGTTCACCGTCCTGATACAGAGTTGGTCAGAGAAGGCCAGATACCCTGACAGAGGCAACACACACACACTCTTGACCGTTGACATGTCGCTGATCTGCTGACGCGACAGATACAGCCGAGGCTTCGTCATCACCGAGTAGTCACGGTAACCGTACACCATGACGTTCCATTGATAGTTTGAAATTCTCTGCGAGTCGACCAAAATCGTGACGACGTGGAACCCAACTTTCTTGGGCGTGTACCGAACCAGGCTCCTCCCCCTTTTGGCATTGTCGATGGCAACCGGAATCTCAGCCCCCTGGGGGTCCAAAATCTTGACCTCCACCTTGTTCCCTCCCTTGAACGCCCGCTGACCGTACTTATCGTGAGCTTCAACCACAAACTCCGCCTCCTTTCCGACCTGTAAACCTTTCTCCAGTCCGGGTCCCGACGCGACGAACTTTGCAGGGGTCGGAGTGCAGTAAATCTCGCCAAACCCGCTTGCCTCCTGAAGCAGCTCCTCGCGCAGGACACACTCTGGCCCGTCTTCCAGTTTCTCGACCGGGTCTCGTTCGAGTCCGTCGACCTCGTTCACGACGGCATCGACCTCCGCGGCAATCTGTTTTCTCTTCAGAAGGACCGTTGTAGTCGTGGTCTTTGATCTGGAGTAGACGAGACACGCTCTCCCGCTCTGCGTTCAACTTCTCTCTCAGCTGCTGAAGCTGCATGCATTGGGTGTGGAGTGCACTGCACTTCTTCGATATCACTCCCTCCAGAGACTGCACGAGGGCCAGTTCCCGCGAGTTGAGGGTATTGCGCAACTCTTGAAACAGTGTCTGGATGCGGTGTTTGTGGCTCTCGCCGAGTTTCCTGACCTGGTTGTAGATCGGGTGTTCTCGTCGATCGCGACGTTTGTCCGGAGGTATCGGATCTCTAGAGGATCGACGCACTGTGAGCGAAGCTCTGTTGTAAGCTTCTGAGCTTCTTTTGGCTGGCGAGAGAGGAGGGAGGGGGGAGGAGGGGGAGGGGGGAGGAGGGAGAGAGGGGAGAGGAGAGAGGAGAAGAGAAGAGAAGAGAGAAAGATTAGGAAAAGGGTAGGGAGGGGAGAAGGAGAAACCAAATTTTACGTCATCTGTGTACCGCTTTTACAGAACTCCAGCAAACAAGCCCTTTGCGTGGCAACACACTCTCAAAGCAGTGTTTTTCACCCATGACATAGAGACATCACGTTTCGAAACTAAAGTCCCACAGTTTCAATGTTCTCTGAAAAACCAAACATGCTACATACAAACGAGAGCCCATAACTTGTTTTGTTTCAGTCTGACTAGAACTTAGATAAATGGACGGCACACACACATTGTAGCACCACTTGTAGAGTGGGGGAATATGTCGTGATATTTGAAACATCTGTCAAAGTTTTGTCTGTTACGTTTTGTGTCAAAAGAACCCGACATACAAAAATGGGCAAGAAAATGATCTTACTAATTTACCCTCAGAAATACGTATACACTGAATCACCATTTTACCCAAAATTTTTTATCAAAGCACAAAATTTTGTAACTGCCGATTAACAAAAAAGTTCCTGCTAAATGTATCCATGTCTACCTTGTGTCCTCCGTGAGTGTTGATGGCACATGTGGCACAGACCAACACGTCACACTTTTCACAGAAATAGTCCAGTCGGCGATTGTGCTCACGGCACATGGGCATGTTGTCAGCTAATGAGGGAGGAGGGAGAGAGAGAGAGAGAGAGATGGGTATTTGGTGCATTAGCAATCCTCCTGTAATTGTCAATTTGGACTAATACATTGTCCAATTTGAAGCAGCCCATCTGGCGACGTAATCTTAGGCATAATGCGAACATAATGATTGTACAGCAGTTGAAAGGTCAGATTGCTCGATCGACTTAACATGTACATGTCTTCAATGAATGTGTTGCACACTAGATCAGATCATCCTGTGTGTTCTAAGGCTCTAGCTACTGAGAGGGTTAGCTAATCATAGAACAAGGCACACAAAAAACTCATAAAGACGACCCCACAGCTCAACATGACTCTGCCCCACTCTTTTGCAGGGTATATATAACATGAGAAAAACGGCCACCTCTGAATAAATGACTTGTTGATGTCCCCAAGGTGTCCCTTAATTATTGAGAGGATTAACAGATGTAGATACTCACAGTGAGCCATGGGGAGGAGAGAGGTGAGCGGACTACTGGAATGATGGGAGGTGAAAGAGTTTGCATCCAACAGTGACTCATCCGCCTCCTCTCCGATTATGTCCACCACTTGCTGTGGGAAGGAAGGAGGAATGAGAGAGATATGTAACACCTTCTTAGACCACTACAGAAGCTATAAACATTGAATATTAACACACAATTGAATTCACCAACTAGGTTCAATTAGTGCCACTACGGGACCACGCCACCACGAGGTCACGCGACATAGTAAAGCCACACCCACCATGAGGTCCCAGTTGATGGGGAGAGCGTCCACCCCCAGTTCAGAGAGGACCGTGACATCTCGACACTTGGGGCACGTCAGATGATTGTGAGCTGTGAGAAGGAGAGAGAGGGGAGAGAGAGAGAGAGAGAGAGAGGGGAGGGAAGGAGGGAGGGAGAGATACAGTGTGTGTGTTAGTAAAGACCTAGACAAAACGTCTAAGACAGACATACATGTTTCAAAACCCGCAAATTCTCGCATGGGCCTTTGAATCACGGTTCATGTGGCAACAAATTGCAACAAATTTATCCGATCTTAAAAAGTATTTTTAATGCAGCCATGTTCATGAAATGTTTTATCACGTGGCATTAGTCGGATTTGTGAAGTATTTTTGATAGTATAATATTGTCGTGAGAGCTGAAGTTACATGAACGGCTCTTTCTTGTACAACATACACAGTAAAAGAGAGTGTTTTCAGTATTCCATATAAGGCTATGTCTACTCCCAAAAGAACAGCATCTGCCTTCACTGCTACTCACGAGTTTAGAAACCAAAAGACAGACACAAAACTGATTTGGGAGACGCTGTTTACGTTTCAGTGACGTGAGTATAGTTTCGAGTGGTTTCTAGTGTACCGGATTCTGTGGCCGACTGCTGTTGATAGCAAGGAACAAACATTGGCTAGAGTTGTGAGGAACGTGATGTATGGAAAGAGAAACACAAGATATGCAGATACAATTTGGTTGTGTAGCACACGTGTCATGTGACGACCATGGATTTGCTTTTCGATCCTTCAATTGTAGAACATCAGATAAAAAGGAAGCAGTGTGTGCGTATTAGTTAAGATCGGAACTCATGTGATAGACTCTGACAGTAGAACTACAGTATTACTTGTAGTGGTTTCATTTTCACACTATAAACAAACCTAAACTCACACTCTCACCCACACAGGAAAATATACATACATTCATACATCAGCTACTATTATATACAACTGGCTTAGTGACAGTAGAGTTTGTTTGGCGACTGACTGCTATATGCAGTGTCAACTACATTGCTGTATTTTGAAACTACATCTGCAATAAACATCTTTCTCTCCCCTTCTCTCATCTTCCTCCCTCTCCTCCCTCTCTAAATCTCGCACAAACGTTCCCTTCTCGCTCCAGTCTAGCCTACTCCAGTCCTCTCCAGTCTCTCTTCTCTCTCTCTCCATCTGCTGTCCTTTTCTCTCTCCCTCTCCCCTCTCATCTTTATGCTATATAGCTACACGGCAACCACAAAACCACCCAGTAAGCGGTGGCGCCCCGAAACTTACGCTGCGGGTTTCGGATGCATCGGTCGCGCTGTTCAAGGACTTGGTGTGACAGGCAAACGGCGACAGAAAGAGTGCGAGTCACTTGAGGCATACGCGGCCTCGTCGTAGCGCTCCAGGCAGATGGCGCACACGACTGCTGATGGTCCAGGCGAGCCAGACTGATAGCTGGCCCCCGGAGTGAGGTCCGCCACCCTGGCCACCAAGGGAAGGCAAGGAGGAACGGGTCGTCGTCATGGAATCCAGCCGAAGGGAAGCGGGAGACGATTCGAACCCGAGGTGCGGATGTGCTCCGATCGGCGTGTACGCCATCTTTCTCACTGTGGATAAAACCCCCTTTTCTCGCTCTAATAACTTTTCTCCGAACTGAATGTTTTCGCGATTACACTGCGGCTTTTATAGTTCGAATAAAATGGGTGTGGTTTATCTTAATGCGCATGCGTAGTAGTCACATGCCCCACCCATCTATCCCACTATTGTAGCGCGATGGTGGAGCATCATGCTCGATTTGTTTTCCTGGTCCTGTGCTGGCTGTTAGGACACATCGCTCCTCCCTTCTCCCTCGCTGCATTGGCGGCTGCCTGCAGTTGCAGCGTGCAGATAAACGTGGACCCCCGCAAGCTCCGTCCCGTGCGACGGCCGCGGTCCGGAATTCCACCTGCAACTCGCTCCAAGCCGTCCTGAGCGCAGTGGCCGAGGCGTCCGGATTCGCTGGCGACGACTGCATAGCTGTCCGACTGTTGCCAGGGACACACACGGTGACACAGAGCGTCACGATCACCCAAAACCTCGTTTTATGGGGATCCAGTTCTGCTGCTACTGCCCCTCCCCCCTCTCCCTCTTCCTCTCCCAACGATGCCACTACGACTGGCCAGGTGCATACAGTAAAAACGGTTTGATGGTAAAAGCTGCGTTGCTCAGTGCATCTGACTTAGCTACATAGTAAGCTATATTAGACCACCTCAATAAGAAGAACTTATGTATGCTGCTAAAATTTTATGATGTCACTACAATTTTCTGATGTCATATATACACCAATAATATTTTCCACTATTATAGCTAATTGTGTCATCCATCCAATACTTTGGACTTTGTTCCACTCCCTCTCTCTCTGTGTGTGTGTGTATGTACTAATGCAGCTGCCCGGAACAACTCCTGAGATGAATAACTATGACACAAAGATCGTATTTAACTCCTCTCGTGACTCGTTCGATGCCCCGTTCTACGTCCTGTCGTTTGTGGGCGGAGCCTGGTTGTCGATGGCAACACTTGAATTGACAGGAAGTCCCAGAGGAGTTGAAATTGTTAATGTGACGAACGTCCAAATCACTAATTGCTCGTTCAGGTATTTTGATTTATCCCTTATGATGGCACATGATTAAGCTGAGCTGCTTCAGTAGCTCAGTTGGTAGAGCCCTCTCTAGAACACAGAGTGCTCTGCCTTGCTCTGTATGAGTTGTTCAGCCCAGCCAGCTGAGCTGCCTCAGTAGCTCAGTTGGTAGAGCCCTCTCTAGAACACAGAGTGCTCTGCCTTGCTCTGTTTGGCTACGTCAGTAGATGTACTACAATAGGGATATTCCGTGACCAGTGCAGTAGAAACCATTCTCCTTTGCTGGACAATAAAAGGGGAATTGTCAAAACCACAGAAGACCATAATAGTATTGTGTACGACGAAGATGAGCTCTGAACATTCCGTTGGAGACTGGGTTGGCCATTAATGGAGAGTGAATACCTCCCTCATTCTCCGCCTCCTTCCCCTCTTGTTTTGGAAACTAACTACTTACATGAGGGAAGTGAGGAAAGTATATGTTGCCTCAGGTATTACATGCATGCATGCTGAGTGGGAGTGAACTGTGCCCAAGAGCAGTCGTTGAGAGGTTTGCCTTTGCCTTTGTCTTGTGTTGTGTTGTTGATTCGAACCCCCACCTGCTGCGTTGCCACGGGTATTATCTCTCCACCCATCTACTAGCACTTAATGTCCTTAGCGACAGTCCTAACGACATCGCTACGGCAACCACGGATTATTGTAGTTGTCATGGTCCCAAGTGTAACAATTTCGTGTTTCCTGTAAGTTAGTAAGTTAATTGAGCATGGGTCATAATATTAGATGGAAAACGTGCAACACTTTTTGTTGACATTTTTGCAGACACTAAGTTGTTGATGTTATCATAATATATGTGCAAGCGACATGATTTGTGTTGTGGTTACTATGGTAATGAGGTAAAAGTAGGCCGGTTTTTGGTGTGGTGAAAACATATCGTTAGTAGCAACATGTACATTTGGCTACCTCATGCTCAGTCTGCAAGAGATTTTGCTTTTTGTGGTTTATCACAAAGCCTTTGAGTGGGGTATGAACCAGATTGTATGAAGCCAACAATTCCATGTCACAGCACAAACAGTCTCGAAAAGAAGAGCTTCCCTCCCTGGGTGGGTGGGACTTGAACCCACGACAGACTGAGAGTCTATAAGCAACATACTGAGCTTTACCAAGGCAGCAGACAGGGCTCCCAGTAAAGAAGCATATACTCCACAAGCTTGGAGTCCTAACTGGACCTCTGCTTGGTTTGTTTTTGCTTGTCTACTAAACAAGTACAACACAATACAACGCAAAAGGCAAGCCCCAGTAAATAAGGTTGTCATTGCCTTTTGCGAAAACTGTATTCACATGATTGACCCCACCTCCCTCCATCCCCCGTCTAGCTGGTTTACTCAAGGAAGCAGTCGATGTCTACAACAGCCGCTCCGTTGCCATAGCTAATTGCCACTTCTTTCACAATGGACCGGTGGGTGTGGTCAAAACCAATGAGCTCAGAGGTCATGCAGCTGGCTTGTCTCTGGGTAAGAAAGCCACTCTCTGTTCCTCTACCAGCGAATTCTCTCCTCCCTATCACTCACTCTCTTTCCAGGCTACTCCATCACAGCAGATGAGGAAGAAAATCTGACAGCCATTGTTGAAAGCTGCGTCTTTTACAACAACTCAGCTCTGCTGGCTGACTCATCAACGTCTGAAGTATAATGATATAGTACATAGGAATCTAGTACAGTGGAACCCCTCTCTAAGGACACCCCTGAAATTAGCTAGAAAAGTAGGACACACATCTTTCCCCAAGAACAGTTGATGCATTCAATTTATCCCTGAAACAAGGACACCTCACGTTGACATTCATGTTGTATTGTGTTCTAAACAGTAGCAAAACACGTCATTTCCTACTCTACTTGATGATGTAATTTATCTCCTCATTTCAGGCACTAAATGACAGGGTTTTCCCCGGTAGAGGTGGTGGCTTGGCGGTCCTCGTCGACTCTGTCACCACGGTTACCGTGGACGTTATAAATTGCAGCTTTTTCAACAATTTCGCCACGGAATTTGGAGGCGGAGCTTTTACTGAACTCTGCACCCTATCCTCGTCCTCCAATCACCTGATTACATTCCAGACATGTGTCTTTGATGAAAATGGGTCCGAGACCCATGCCGGTGGACTGGGGATTGAGATTTCCGGGAATGGGAATGGGACAGAGTCGAGTGGTGTCGTAATCCGAGACTGCGTGTTCCGGGGCAACACTGCAGAGTGTGGTGGAGGGTCTTACCTATTGTTTACAACAGGTGATGACGTCATTTTACAATGGTATGATGTCATATTACACCAGGAGTACGTAATACGTAACTGGTGGCTAATCTTTGCTGTTTGATCTAGGTCGCTAGGTTAAAACCAAAACTTAGAACTGACATTCATGGAAGAGTGACATGCGTGCATGCATGCAGCATACATGGCTGTAAAGTTTCTCTTTTCGTACCAGACGTGTATTTAGCATTACATACGACACCATGGTACAAGTTGCAGACACACCATCGACAAAGAAAATGTCCCACCAACTGAAACGACTAGGAACACAGGCCAGGTTATGGTAGCTGCTATTGTGGGTTTATTCCATTATGTATATTTCTCATTTCCAAGTGCAATTGTCATCAGCTGACATGAACATGGACGTGCAGACTCGATCGTAGAACACCACATTTTGAAATCGAAATTGCACGCATGCAACGAAATATGCACTGCGTATATACAACAACGTCATCAATCACTTATACAACTATTCCCAAGGAACCAAAACTTTCAACATGTGATATTCACTCCATATATGGTGAGGTAGTACACCTAATTGAAGTTATAGGGGCAAACTCCGACCTTCCAATTTCCTACTCAATATAGTATATACCATGTGACATATACTCACTGCTTCATTTCATGTGGTTACATACATCATGTTACGCATTTTATTTGCAATATGTGTTAGTTATGGAATTATGTAAGCATTTCATTTCATGATGTATTAGTTACGGAATTCTTGAGTTAGGATGTCGACATTCACGTTGTATTGTGTTGTAAACAGAGGAATTTGAAAAAGGAGGAAGTGATGTCACGTTTCAGAGATGTCTGTTTGATAGTAACATGGCAACGGAGGTGGGCGCGGCTTTGGGAGTCGTGTCTTATCGTTTCTTTGGCAACAAAGAGGCAACTGTGCCGGTGCAAGTAGCTGATTGGTGAGTGGTCCTTGTTTCTTCTTCTTCCTTCCCTGCCACTGCCTCTATCTCTCCCCTTTTTTCCACTCCCCTTTCTTTCTCTCTCTGAATAAAGGACTCTTGGTTCTGCCCCATACTAATACATAGGGACACCTCTCTATAAAGGACACTTGGTTCTGCCCCATACTAATACATAGGACACCTCTCTATAAAGGACACTTGGTTCTGCCCCATACTAATACATCAGGGACACCTCTCTATAAAGGGACACTTGGTTCTGCCCCATACTAATACACAGGGACACCTCTCTATAAAGACACTTGGTTCTGCCCCATACTAATACATAGGGACACCTCTCTATAAAGAACACTTGGTTCTGCCCCTATACCTAGTACGTATGGGACACCTCTGAGTAAAAGTTAAAATTAAACCACTGAGCTTTCTCCCGAAAAAAGACTCCCTAATACAAAACCTCTCTTTATGGTTCAGCCCCGTACAATAAGGGACACCTCTGAATTGAGTAAAGATACTGCTAGAAAATAAACCACCCTCTCCCCCTCTCCCTCCACCCTCTCCCCAGTACATTCCTCAAACACCGAGTGTCAAGAGGAGGTGCTGTGGCAGCTGCGTTCTTCCCTCTCGCCTTCTCCGGACTCAACATCTTCGAGGACAACCGTGGACCCAGTCTGGTGGTCAGTAGTACTGTAGCTGTACCTTCTCAAGACCACCATTTACTAGAGGAATGCGCAATACATTGCTGTGAGAGCAGTTCAATATTTCTCGCTTGGTGGCTGTCGCTTATTTAGAACATTACGGTGTGTGTGTGTGCATTGTCGAATAGGAAAATCAGTTGACACATGCGATTTTTATGGGTATAGCTAACCTGACTATGAATTGTGACTGCTTAGGAGGAAGGTGTGTGTGTGTGGCATTGTACTCAGTGTGTGGCATTGTCGAATAGGAAAATCAGTTGACACATGCGATTTAAACTGAGCCTTCCGAAAATGTAATTTTTTCACACGCAGGCACGCACACACGCACGTACGTGATTAACTGGTATATATTAGGTGGCTGGTGGTGTACTGAAGGTGTCTGGGGAGCTCCGTTTCCTAGGAAACAATCTGATGGGATTGGGCGGAGGAACGCTGTACATGTTGTCTCAGGGACAGCTGGTGGTGGGGGCGGGGTCCAGGATACTCTTCCATGCTATCAGCGAGTGTGACGAGAGGGATGTGTGAGGAGAGGATTGTGGAGTAAGTCGACAACACCTGTAACTTATCATTTTGAGTGAAGCGACCCACCTAGTTATCTGAATTGCACGAATTTTCATGTGAAGAAGGCGATATGAAACTTCAGTGGTTTTGGCATCATATACAATATCGGCCATTGTGTGTACACTTGTGTTTGTTAACCAAATATGGTTTCTTTCACCTCCCCCCCCCATCAGACTGGGTGCGGCTACAGTGGTGGAGTCCCTCCACATACCCAGTGTCTTCCTGGGTCTCCTCCACAACAAGCTGTGTTTCCTCCGCCACGAAGACCCCACCCTCTCTCCCCTGGACTGGCACCTTCTCAACGTGAGCACCATGCCAGTCATATTGTACAGTGTAACCTCTGATTAAGAAACACATGTAGACACCACATCTACGTATGGTAAAACATATTTGCAGAATTAACCCCTATTCAAGTTAGGTTTTCTTTGCCATAAACTAGGAGAGATTTCTCTTTCTCCCTGCTACTACTCTAAGGTGTCCCTGGAGTACAGGAATAACATGGCCATAGTTGGTTCGGCAGTGTACATTGACAGTGTGAGACAGTGTTCGTGGGAGTCTCTCTCCTCTCCTTACTTCAATATCTCCGGAGCCTTTCACTGGCCCTTCATCACCCTGGAGTGAGGCACACACACCCACACACACACACACACACACACTCACACACTCCCTCCCTCCCTCCCTCACAGAGATAACGACAATAGAGCACACCATCCAAACAGCACCGACCCAAGATGGGCTGCACAAACTCCCGCGTTCTTCCTCGACATTACCACCACCTCAGTAAGCCTATAGTCACACAATAGGTAACTCAAATATAGAGTGAACCTCTGAATAGGGACGTTGAATGTGAAAGCGTCCTTTATTCAGAGGATGTATGATACACTATGGAAGTAGATGGAGATATGAGTCCTTACTTTGAAGGGTCCTGTTTACTGGAGAACCATTGGCGGACTTTGAACCTATCCAATTGTGAAAGGCTCACATTATACCTGTATGCGTACATTTACACAGCTCTCTTCTGGCGGTGATGTAATGGGAAATGTATATTGATGGTGATGTAATGGGAAATGTATATTGATGGTGATGTGGGAAATGGGAAATCTCTGCAGGTGTCGGCGTTTGCAGGTGATGATGTCATTCTGGGGGTGGAGTCTCGAGACGAGCTCGGGGAGGACACCCCTGTAATCATGCGTCTCTCTGTGGACACCATGGTAACTGTACAGTGTCTGCATCAGAGGGGAATGAATATCCGTGTGCTCTCGCTATGTGCAGGGTATGGAGCAGTTCAAGTTCTCTCCCTCCACCATTAACTACGACAGACTGGAGGAGAAGGAAATCAGAACCTCGTTTCTCCAGCTGTCTGAAGGGGGCGGAGACTCCAGTGATAACATCACCGTGGAAACGCTCCTCACGGTAGTTTACATTTCACCCTCCCCCCTCTCTCCCCGCTGCCGACTAACCTACTCATAATCCTTCCTTCTCTCATTCACTCCATGGCAATGCAACTTCATTTCTCTCCTCTCTCCTCTCCTCAACCTCTTTAGCTTCTCCTAAGTTTCTCCTTTCTTCCTATCTCCTCTTCTTCCTCTCTCCTCCCTCTCCCTAGGATTTCAAGAGGGACAGTTTCTCGTTGACCTCTGACCTGTGCCCGGCAGGCTACACCCTATCACCTCACTCGACTCTCACTGATTTCTCAGTGTGTTCGTGTGACTTGGACCATCCCAGAATCCTTGACTGCGACGGACGGAAAATTATCCTCGAGGTACAAACATACATAGTGAAACATGTTAAGGCAATGTGGCAGGATATAAGGGCTAAATTTAGAGACTGTTACTAAAAAAGAGAAACTTAATTGCATTCTTGCACTGGCCCCTATTGTTTTGTTCTATCTTTAGTAACATTTCTAAACTTAGCCCCTACGCTCTGACACGTTCCCTTTAATACCAAACCTTGCTAATTTAAGTGCAATACCATATTAGGAATAATAAGTGCAATATGAAATGGAGCATTTTGGAAATTTTTGCACTGGGCCTTATTGTTAACATTTCTAATTTCTAATTCTTTTTAAAGCACTGCGGTCTTTTGAATTTTGATCTGCCCGCACAATTACCCGTCTAATCTAGAATGATAATCTTCCAACTTGTTTCCTTTGCTCAGGATGGACTGTGGGGGTTTGTAGATAGGAGTAAGGAAGGGGAGGAGGGGGATCCCCTTGAGACGTACCCCTGTCCCTCCGGGCACTGCCGATGTCAGCTGAGGTCAGAGGGCAGCGCGGCGCAGTGTCGGTTCACCGTCGACGACAGAAACTTTGACGACCAGTGCGTCGGTGGAATTGAGAAGGAGGATGTGAGGAGTGGTAGTACCTCTAATAGGGACACCTTCGGCGACATCGAACGCGTTACGGATAGGAGGCCCTCGTTTAGTATAGTGTCTTCACGGTATATCAATCTCCGTCTCCTCACAGGAGTCCTATGTGGGTCGTGCAGGGAAGGAAAAGGAGTGACTGTTCTGAGAAAGAAATGTGCCACTTGTCATAATGGATTCACTGGACTGGTTGTTGGACTGGGTGAGAGAGCATTAGGATGGAGTCATCCTTGCGACATTAAAGATTATTCTCGTTCGTTCCTGCGAGCTGTGTGTGATGCGGTCGTCATGGTGATAATGTTACTGCTGATGGTACCAGTGTCCGGGGCCTTACTGCCTGTCATCTTCCATATCCAGGTATCAACACTAGTCTCACTAACCAGACCCTCCGCGAAAAGACGTTTAAAGTGAAATTAATTTTCCTGCATTACAACACGTGGTCTGTGAAACTAGTTTCAATGATCTTATAATTATGTGATATGTATACAGGTGTATATAGCTTTGACTCAGTCTGTTTGTTGTTTCAGGTGTGAGGCTTACAAGTAGTTCGTGTAACTCCTCTTTTTTTGTTTGTGCAGATACTGCCATATCTAACAGAACACTTTCCTGTCACATTCGAGAAAGTGCAACCATTTGTAAGTTGACTGTTTGTGTGTGCGCAAGATGTACTAAGCGAACCTATCTCAAGTTACAAGACACCTCTCTATATAAAGAAGGACGGTACCATTGGTTCTGCCCCATACTAATACATAGGACACCTCTCATAAAGGACATTGGTTCTGCCCCATACTAATACATAGGGACACCCTCTTATTAAAGGACACTTGGTCTGCCCACCCTATTGCTAGTGTTACCACCTCCAAATAAGGGGACATCTCCGAATAAAGGCAACCAAATTTGTTCATGGGTTTTGCTGTTATTGACTGCCATTTTCAGTGAAGAATAACGATTCTTCTCTCCCTCCCCCTCCCTCCCCTCTCTCCCTCCTCCCTCCTCTCTCCCTCCTCCCTCCTCTCTGCCTCCCCATGAAGATGCTATATGTCAGCAGTGCCATAAGTCTCTTCTTTCCCTACGACTTCTGCGTCTCTGAGAACATGTCCGCCATTGTCTCCCACTCTCTTCACTACCTCCCTCTCCTCGTAGCTCTGTTTGTCACTCCACTCGTCCTCTTCCTCAGGTCAACAGCCACTCTCCACAGATGAACCTCTGAATACGGGACACCTTGGACTGTCCCTTATTCAGAGTAGTATATATAATACTCAATTTTGTTAGTATGGGACAGAATATGTGGTAAGTTCCCCAAGAAAACTTGATCACTATATATAGCCAACAAATAAAACTCTCATAGATTGCACAATGCAAATTTCGTCATCACAAGAAGTGTGAAATCCATGAAATCTTTTCTCTTTTGAAACTTTCTTATAACTTGAATCTGATGTTCAGTGTGTATGTTGCTGCCTGCTAACTATCCTTACTACATCATGGTAGTGAATTCTTAACAACAAACACCCCCAATTTTCTAACTGTAGATAATGTTGTGGATTAACCCTTGTCTCCCTTCTGTCTCATGTAGGAGAGTGACGCGGCACCCTGCCCCAGCACACGGGCTGGCCTGGATCGTCTTACTCCTCTTCACCCCTCTTCTCCACACCGCCCTCACCTCCCTCCACTGCCCCACCATCAGAGCTGCCCAAGACACCGGCAAACCTGGACCCACACTGAAATCAGTGGGTAATGGGTTATATAGTAATGGATCAGTGGTCAATGGGTTAATGGGTCAGTGGGTAATGGATTATAATGGATCAGTGGGTAATGGGTTAAATAATAATGGATCAGTGGGTAATGGTTAATGGTAATGGGTTATAATGGACCAGTGGGTAATGGGTTAATGGACCAGTGGGTAATGGGTTATAATGGACCAGTGGGTAATGGGTTAATGGGCACGTGTGTCAATAATGTGTTGCTCCAGTATTCTCACCCAAAACCCTGTGCATGCAGGCAGTGTGGTATCTGTCAGGAGACCAGCAGTGCTTCGCTGGAGACCACATTCCACTGAGTGTGGTCTCACTGCTCGTCCTCCTCCTCCTCCTGGCCACCATACCCACCGTTGTCCTCCTCTCTCGTCACCAGATTAAGGTCCACTCACTCACAGTCGTGTACATACATTTTATCTCAACATTGTTGGCTTTCTTCATTGGGGGCTAATCAATGTAATCATCCCTCAGTGATTATCATTAATTTACTAAGGGTTTTAGTAATAATATTAATAAAGGTTAATAATGGTATTAGCTTTGTTTATTAGAAATTTGTGATTCCAGAGTTCTGGTGTGCTATTATTTGCCTTTAAAGCCAATGACCAGTTCTAGAAATATGAAATGTCTTCATTTTGCTGCAGAGTTCTCGGATGTCCAGCCATCTGCTGGTGGCTCCGTTCTCTCACATGTACCGGAGCCGATGGGTCTGGTGGGGCGGAGTCGAACTGGCTCGCAGAGTTCTCGTGGTTCTGTTTATCGTCGCCTTCCCTGGCAACAACGTGGGCCTCCTTTACTTACCTTCTGTCCTTCTAGTTCCTCTCTTGCCGCTATTATTTCACTTCTACTCCTTTGGGCCTCGTTTTTTCTCATATCATCAAGTCAGTTGGAGTCCAGATAGGAAACAGTGTTGTTGGCTATATAGCTAGCGGATGTGGCAGTACAGTTAATGTTGCAATAAGGCCCAGTTCTTGTTCTAAATTTCCCCCTATGTACGGACACATTGCCTTTAAGACTCCCTCCCTCCATTCCTACAGTATCCAGTGTACTTTGTGCTGGCAGTACTTGTGACAGTACAGGCCTATGTACAGCCGTACAGGAGAATGTTCTGGAACTTTCTGGAGCTAGTTCTCTCTGTGAATGTGATGGTACTTCTGCTACTCAGGAACACTACCTCCATCGAGGCTGCTCTGCAGGTAAACCAGCCTGTGGCAGCAAATTAACTACCACATGGATTGTTAGTAGCTCCATCTATAATAAAGTATGTATTATACAGTCTGGACACTATAATGGGTACAGCAGAATAATGAGTCATGGTTAAAGGGAATGTGGCAGTACTAAATTTAGAAGATGTTACTAAAGATAAATATAATAGGCCCAGTGCAAGAATGCAGTTAAGATTCAGTTTCCAATAATAATAGCAGTTTATAAATTTAGCCTTTTTACAAGTCAGACTGTTGTCTATTGCAGTTCTTGACTATTGAATGTTGTCTTCTTCCTCGCAGACCTACCCTGCAGGAGACCGGGACACCAGTGGCTCATCATCAAATGGAGGAGGAGGAGGAGGAGGAGGAGGAGGGAGCAGTGAGGAGTGCACAGATGAAGTGGATGGCATCACTCCGTTTGTGATTCTGTTATCAGTTCTCTACTATCTCCCTCTCCTGCTGTCTGCAGTTGTGGCAGTGCACTGGCTGGGGAACTTAGTTAGGTGAGGTTATTGGTGCAGACTTAGCTGAGCTGCAGTGGAACCTCCGAACAAGGGACACTGTGGGGCAAATGATTTTGTCCTTTGTAGACACGTCGTCCCTATGTTAGAGGTCAAATAATACACTAAAGTATTAGCATGGGGTTGAAACAAGTGTCCCTTGTAGAGAGGTTGTCCCTATCTCAGAGGTCAAATAATACACTAAAGTATTAGCATGGGGTTGAAACAAGTGTCCTTTGTAGAGAGGTCGTCCCTATCTCTGGAGGTCAAATAATACACTAAAGTATTAGCATGGGGTTGAAACAAGTGTCCTTTGTAGAGAGGTCGTCCCTATCTCGGAGGTCAAATAATACACTAAAGTATTAGCATGGGGTTGAAACAAGTGTCCCTTGTAGAGAGGTCGTCCCTATCTCGGAGGTCAAATAATACACTAAAGTATTAGCATGGGTTGAAACAAGTGTCCTTTGTAGAGAGGTCGTCCCTATCTCGGAGGTCAAATAATACACTAAAGTATTAGCATGGGGTTGAAACAAGTGTCCCTTTGTAGAGAGGTCGTCCCTATCTCGGAGGTCAAATAATACACTAAAGTATTAGCATGGGGTTGAAACAAGTGTCCTTTGTAGAGAGGTCGTCCCTATCTTGGAGGTCAAATAATACACTAAAGTATTAGCATGGGGTTGAAACAAGTGTCCTTTGTAGAGAGGTCGTCCCTATCTCTGGAGGTCAAATAATACACTAAAGTATTAGCATGGGGTTGAAACAAGTGTCCCTTGTAGAGAGGTCGTCCCTATCTCATAGGGTCCTTTTTCAGAGGTTCCACTGTAGCTTTAATGTCTCATCAAACATTAGGTCATCTTCCATCATCTCTCAACTGAAGCAGGCCCTCCATTCTCCAACCAAACGGCCACCAGAACTATCTCTCTCTAGTCTAGAGGGACCTCGACCCCTCAGAGCACCCACCACAACTACTGTTGATCTTGACCAGTTGCCTCTTGAAGACAGTCTCTTTTCATCTTCTCTCAAAGAGGGAGGAGGGGGAAATGGAGAACGGGTGACACGGGGGAGCACCAAATTTCATCGGTGGGGATCACGAACAAGTAAATCTAAAGATTAGAGCAACTCAAATTTGAGTAACTATTTTATTCACATTATTATACATGGAAAGTATTATTTTCATGTTTCTATTATCATCTGTCTATCATCTCTCAAATGTAAAATCAATGATGAAGTTGTTAAGCTAGTGTGTATCATTAACTTGTATAATAAGCGCTTGCTTCGGCGCTTGTTATACCATTATTGTCAGGAGCAACAATGTAATCCGGTCCCTATGCACACACCAACACAAAGCAGTAAGTGAAAAGATTGGTCAATGCACTAAGGAGTATTTGCCTGTGTTCATTGCATTAGGATGCAAGGCTATAATAATAATAATAACTGGCTACAGGCTACAGGGGTTGTGTTGGTCTAGGGAGAAGGTTCTGGAATGAAGTCGGTCTGCGTGATGTAACCAGGGTCAAGGTTCGACAGTTTCGCCAGCATGAAACACTCCATGGCAACCACAGCAAGATGAAGCTCCTCTAACTCTATCTCCTGTGGAAAGAGGAAGAGAGAGAGGAGAAAGATTTCCTTCATGGGGAAATGCGGAAAGTGCTCTGCAACTTTGCCTTCCCAAAACTTAGTCAGCTGCTGGATGTGTGATTGCAGCTATATAGAGAAATCTTTAATTATGAGCTGTTGAGCATCTTAATAGTTCCTTGGCTAGCTCTCACTTATGTTGCAGCTAGTAAAATCTTTAGCTGTTGAGAATCTTAAGGCTAGCTCTATGTTGCAGCTAGAGAAATGAAAAGCACTAAAGTGCAAACCCTCGGCACACTGTGGAACCCATACACAAGTGTGGCACCACCACAATTGATGGTCTTGACCATGCATAAAAAGAACAGCATGTTATGCACTATTTCCATGGATAGGTTGAAAAAATGCCCAGCCCCATTTCTGTTTGAGGCCCAAAAAATATATAGGGCTGGCCTGGAGAGTTGATGAAAAAACGTTCCACTTATACCAACACTCCTATTACATCATTGTAAAAAAGGCGCACACTACCCGGGATCGAACCAGGACCTCACAATCAAGAGAGGGGGTGCTTATCCATCAGACCACCACCATTACTTGAATGGGAACAGTGTAAATTGAAGTGCAAACCCTCGGCGAAGTAGCTCGCAGAGAGTCTGACACGGGCTAGCTACAGTAGTAGATAGCACGCGAGAGTCGATACACGCCATTCTTTGTGACTTCTTGTGCCTTCAAGATAGACAGAGCAAGCGGACCGGGTCGTAAGCGCATGCGTATTATCCGTCAGCGATAAAATGGGCATTAGCCGTACAATGCTGGAAGCGCTCTAGCTCTGCAACGGATCATTTTCAGAGAAAACCCCACATATTTTCTGACGCTCGTCGCCCGTTGGCATCGTTTCTGGGACGAACAGACACCCGAGAAGTGAGATTGAGAGTAACACAGACAGCAGACTATATACAGTACCCTCGCTGCGCATGCGCGCCGAGGGTAATCAATGGAAATCATCCTTACATCATAATAGCTCAATTAGAGCTAGCCATGCTTGATGTAGGCTCATGATTGTGTGGCACAATACCTGAGTCTCAGTGTGCTGAGCCCGAGATTTCCCAAACTCCAGTCTGAGCCAAGAGTGGTTGTCGTCTGATGAACACCTCAACTGGCTGAACGGTTTCTTCCATTTCACCACCTGCACGCACATACATATCCCAGGATCATTAGCAAACTCTCCTACACTTTCTTATACATGTACATAGATATCTCACTTTCTTATGGCCATAACTGTGGAAAATCCTAACTCCAAGGACAAATGGAACAGTAGCTAAATTAAATGTATATAAAGCACTGACAAGGCTCCACTGTAGCTACGTTCCACTATTTAACTTGTGAACAAAACTTGAAGCAATCTTGGAACAAGTATATATACTTTGCCTGCTGGTCACACATCACCATAACCTGTAGGAAAGAAAGACGGTCGTCTCACCATTGTATCTCTGTCTCTGACGATGAAACCCTGTGTCAGGTCCAGGCAGAAATCAATGTCCTTCTGCTTCCACCGACCAGGGAACTGCATTGCCTTGGGAGAAATGGAGAGAGGGAAAGAGAGCAAGGGAGAGATTAGCTGGTGCAATAATCCATGTGCAAGGTTCATTGGCTGATGTCAAGGGTTGTGTAGTGTTGTTGTAGATCATCAAGGCCTTTTAACCCTGCTCGTCCACCAACACTTCCCTTTTAAAGCACAATGGAGATGACATCATGAAGTGAAGAAAGGAGAGAGAGAGAGGAGAGAGAGAGAGAGAGAAGGAGAGAGAGAGGAGAGAGAAAGAGAGAGAGAGAAGGAGAGAGAGAGAGGAGAGAGAGAGAGAGAGAGACCTGTAGTGCAGTGATCTGGGCCACTGTCAGTGTGTGTATGGTCTGGGTCCACTCTCTGAGACTCTGTCTCATCTCAAACGAGAGGATGTGAGTGTACCCCTTCCCAGAGAGAGGAGGAGGGAGTGGGCTCTTTGGTTGTCCAGTGCATGAGGCTGCATGGAGGCAGGGGGGCACATGGCTCATACACTGTATGGAGGCAGGGGGACACATGGCTCATACACTGTATGGAGGCAGGGGGGCACATGGCTCATACACTGTATGGAGGCAGGGGGGCACATGGCTCATACACTGTATGGAGGCAGGGGGGCACATGGCTCATACACTGTATGGTTGTTAAGGTTTCGGATACATTTCGCATGCAGCTCTAGAATCCCACTGCATGCCGAAAAAATAAGACACATTTTGTAATGTGCTAAAAGTGCATCGTAGCGGGGAGACAGACACCAGGAATTGAGACTCTTGGCACATTTTGTACCCGCACACAATAATACCCAGTTTCATTTTTCAATCAGCTCAAATGAGAGGAGTTTCATCTTGTATCGACATTAATTGCGAAAATATTGCCCCAGAAACCGTTTTATTCTCGAGCCAACCTTGAGAACTCTGCAAGTGATCTCAGTCAGTTTATGCGTGTGCACAGGTCTGGACCACTCGTGTACATCACTCTGTGGGTGGAGCAAAAATACCAGCGGTGTCATTATGACGTAATACCAATGATGTAGTACATCACTATTATGTAAGATGATAAACTGACGGGGTAAGAGTCGTAGATATGAAGTTCAGATTTCTTGAGAGAGAGAAACTTTCTCCTCCATACTTTAGTGTGTGGAGTTGACGACAGATAGTTCGTGGGTCCAGCCCATCATTACCAGCTAATGAGAGGGGGGAGATGAGGAAAGGGGGAGTAGAGAGGGAGGTCAGAAATACCTTGTCTTCATCCTCTCTCTCTTCATTGAGCTGCTTCATCTGCATCGGGGAGAACCTCAACTAATATTCAACACTCACCCAACTACTTTTTCGAAAGTCTTTTTTTGTGAAACCTTGATACAAGTTCAGTTATATTATGATGCTGTAAGTATGTATTTTCGCAATACACCTCATAGTTTACCCCAATAATATAATGGCCAAGAGTATGATACAGCTAAAAGAGAGGGGACTTGTTGCTCACCTCACTGGTACGAAGAAGAGAGATGTTGTTCCTTATGGCAGTCAGCCACTCCTCCATATGACCTCGCTTCCCCTCGTCGCAGTGGAGGGTCACCTTTGACCTCTCGTCACAGCTTATTACCTGGAACGAGTTAGGTCTGAGAGAACAGAGAGAGAGAGAGAGAGAGAGAGGAGAGAGAGAGAGAGAGAGAGAGAGAGGCAGAAAGAACTTTGTTGAGGACCTAGCTGAGATTAATCAGCTCACACAGTGAAAAGAGGAAAGATTCTAACTAAGTCACAGCAACTCAAAGCCCAGTGCACTGTGAACTGAGCTACACAAACCAACTTCCAGGCAATATCTGGTCTTCCCCATTCCTTATATACAACAGATTTAGGTGCCAATTCCTATCATTTCCAACCTAACTGGAAATGTGACCTCACAGACCTCATAATGGCAGTGCTGTGAGCATATGAAGATACAGTGGCCATTTTGAGAGGCACTGAGGTGAAAGGTATCCAATAGTCTTCTCCCGTTCCTCTCTCCTGCCTCTCTGCTATCACTGTAGTACGATAATATCATTCATTTGCATGGTACTTTTGAAGGAGAAGAACCATTCGCAGTATATAAAATCCTATATTATGAGATCATCTACATGAGATAATCTATATTAAAAACCTTTCCCATTACAGTATACAGTACTCCCCACACACACAATAGTAGTTATGCAGATGAACTCATTTACTAGTTCACTGAATGTTCAGCTTGAAGAAGTTTTGGATGTTCCCATCTCGTTTCTTACCATCTTTATCCACCAGTTTGGCAACAGTGAGAGTGACATTGTCCCCTGCAGACCTAAGTAGATCCGCCTACAGTAGAGTGAGATATGGTTATTAATACAGAAACGCACCTCTGAGGCTGATATTATAATTTCACGACATCATTATGATGTCACTCACTGCTTCTTCGTGTGTCTTTCCCCACACCACCTCTCCATTGACCTACACAGGGTGGAACTTGCATTCAAACAACAAAAATACTACGACAAATGGCACGTAAGAGCTATAATATAATTATAGCTTTATTATAGAGTCTTTGATTATTTACCTCTAAAAGAACATCTTCTCTTTCTATTGCCTCAGATCTGGAGGCTGTTTAAATTAAAAGAAGTTTAACCATACATACAGAATTTCTAGCCCCATCTTCCCTATAGTCACACTTTACCTGGTGAGTCATCAAAGACAGTGTCAATGCTGATTGGTAGTTTGAAATCTAACCCTCCCTACAGAGAGACAAGGAAAAAACAGCACTCATTGGTAATATATATAAGAAGAACAGAATAATGACGTCTGGCGAACAACTTGGCAGTGGTTCAGTATATACAGCCTTGTCTACGCATGAGATTCAAGTTGCAGTCGTTTCGCGTCTTGCCTACTACAGAGCCTGCTGCGTGGGAGAGGTCTGATTGTAGTGGGGTATCAGAGTGAGGTTGAGGTACATACATATGTGCATATATCAGGACGAAAGTGAAACTGAGCTGCCCTTGAAGTTGTGGGTACAGGTAAAATGAATCTACCTGGATGGCGATTCCCAGGCCGTCTTCTCCTCTCTCCAGCTCTACCGTTCTTCTATTAACAATATCCTGAACACAAATAAATAATTGGTATTCTGTACCCAAGGTGCATCTAAATTTGGTGCTTCCGATGCCTGCAACACTTCTTACTACGCAAAGCGCACAGTCGTTGCACCACTGACTAGCTAGTATCAGCCGATATGCAGATATTATACGCACATTTTATCTATGCAGAGACTGACTTTGGATAGAGCAAACCGACCTTGGTAGCCAGGATATCCTCATACACCATGTCGTGTCGACTCACTCGCACTCCTTCCCTCCCGACCTCCACGCGGACATGCTCCAGCGGTGCACCTTTGAACACAGCGGCAAACAACTGCCCCGTCTTTGGACGAGAATGAAGTGGATAGCTAGACGTATAGCTAGCTAGCTACAGTAGGCAGTGATCTTTTTGCGCTAAACGGAAAAGTCAGCTAAAATGCAGGTGGTAAGTACACCTAGGGTAACCGCTTTAGGCCTACTTAGCGTTTGTTACCATGAAATTTCCTTCTCGCTCCATTTTCGCCTCACTTTTCAGCGATGGCCTGCAGACCTGCCCCGCCCCTTAGACTGCGTGCAAGAGCGAAGGGGCGTGGCTCTCCCAGCAAGAAAGTTTAAACAGGGGAACGGATAAATAGAACTGTTAGGGTGCGTCTGACACTCAGCAAGCAAGGGAGTCTGCTATTGGCACCCTCCGGCCCCCAACGCGACCGCTCCAAATTTGTCAGTAGAAACCTAACCCTCACCATATACGTCTCTGCCTCTCCTCTCCACCTCGCGGCCGTCGGTGAGTTACCTCTAGAGAGAGGCATTATTTAGAGAACATCCGATAGCCAGTTTCCGTGTGTCTATATTTGTACAACTCTTTGTAATGACAGTACTGCTGGAGAATATACGCTAAGAATGAACGCACGATTTATCAGGCGTAGGTAGCCTTATTTACGCGTTTCCCCATGTATATTATGTATATGCCCCCTTCCTCCTCTCTCTCCTTTCTCTTGCAGGTATGCCGACGTCAATGCTCCCGTCCGACCGCCATATGGGATTCAGTTCAGCCGAGTCACTCGGTCGTCTCCTCACTCTCCTCTTGTGGAAGTTCTGGCGAGTGTGCGGCGCGGCGATCCTGATACTCATCCTGGTCTACTGGATGTACGGAGGGATAATCATCCTCATTCTCCTGGTCGTCACGGTGATTGGCGGGCTCTATCACTACCAGGACTCGCTGCTGTACTATCCGGAGCAGCCCGAGAGTGCACGGGTCTTCGTTCAGACCCCCATTTCTCTGGGGCTACCTTACGAAAACGTTAGTCTCACAACAAAAGACGGATGCCGGATTGTAGGGTATTTCATAAAACAGCCCCCGACGTCGATAGGACACGCCCCCACGGTGCTGTATTTCCATGGAAACGCGGGGAACATTGGACATCGGTTGCACAACGCTCAGGCGCTGTACCGACATTGTGGGTTTAACATATTCTTACTGGAATACCGGGGATATGGGAAGAGCCAGGGTACACCCAGTGAATTTGGTGAGTGCAGATTTCTCTCTCCCTTCCCCATCTCTCTTACCCCCTCCTTCTCATTCCTTCTCCCTCTCTTCCTTCCCCCTCTCTTCCTTCTCTCTCTCCTCTCCTTCTCCCTATCATTCCTTCTCTCTCTCCTCGCCTTCTCCCTATCATTCCTTCTCTCTCTCCTCTCCTTCTCCCTATCATTCCTTCTCTCTTTCCTCTCCTTATTTCCTCATGTGTACCGTCTTCTGTTATTTATTTTGCTGAAACGTCAGTGTTTGAAGTGGGCAATAGTTGTAGTAAAAAACCAAGTCAGCTTTACACGTTGCTACTCAGCACTATACTACTACATACATGGTCTTTGAAAATGTGCTAAGAGCTGAGTTTATTCAGCAAAAGAAGACACCACAGTTGTGTAAACAAAGAGGAGGTTGGACACCCAAGAGCGTCCCAATTAATGCACTCCCTAGTGTTTCACTCCCTAGAGTTTCAATTAATGCACACCCTACCACTCCCTCTAATACTGAGGGAGGGATATAGGGTCAACATACATAGCAAGTTGTAACTCAGATCCTTTATTCAGGTGTTCCTCATGATGAGGTAATGTGTATTAGTATAATATGGGGCAGAACCACAGTGTGCTTTATATAGAGAGGTGTGCTTTATTTGGAGTGTGAGATTTCACTTTAGATAGAGAGAGAGAAGGCAGGAGAGAAAGGGGGTGTGGCAAAGCTATGTACATTAAAACCTGATATCCAATGAGCTGAATCCTCTGGTATATTGTGCAGTAGATCCCTGTGGGGAATATAATATGACCTTTATTGCCTTTCTTGTCCTTCATTAGTCACATTGGTAGACAGTTCGGGTATTATCGCTCCAGTTGACAAGCAGCTGCTACTGTAGCTGTAACTGATAGCGGAGGTTTAAGACTATACTCTAGTATTGTCTGTCAATATTGGTAGGATCTGGTGCCTTTGTTTGCTGCCACGTTATTCTGACATGCAATTCAATGAAAGAACCAAGTGTTCTTTATAGAGAGGTGTCCCTATGTATTAGTATGGGGCAGAACTAAGTGTCCTTTATAGAGAGGTGTCCCTATGTATTAGTATGGGGCAGAACCAAGTGTCCTTTATAGAGAGGTGTCCCTATGTATTAGTGTGGGGCAGAACCATAGTGTCCCTTATAGAGAGGTGTCCCTATGTATTAGTATGGGGCAGAACCAAGTGTCCTTTATAGAGAGGTGTCCCTATGTATTAGTATGGGGCAGAACCAAGTGTCCTTTATAGAGAGGTGTCCCTATGTATTAGTATGGGGCAGAACCAAGTGTCCTTTATAGAGAGGTGTCCCTATGTATTAGTATGGGGCAGAACCAAGTGACCTTTATAGAGAGGTGTCCCTATGTATTAGTATGGGGCAGAACCAAGTGTCCTTTATAGAGAGGTGTCCCTATGTATGGAGGTCATATGGTGAGATGTATGTATGGTGACTGTGTGTTGTGCAGGTCTATACTGGGATGCTGAGGCAGCTCTGGACTTCCTGCTGATGAGGAGAGACATCGACAGACGGAAGATTATTCTGTTCGGGCGGTCCCTGGGTGGAGCAGTCGCTATCTACTTAGCTGCTCTTCATTCCCACGTCGACAAGTTAGTTATGTCTCCCTCTCTCCTTGACAATATTGTAATTCAAAAAGTGTGGAATATAGGGATGCCATAAAAAGCAAGGAGACAAGACAGGGATGACCTAGTAGCCCTAGCCCTTGGTTCTGCCCCATACTAATAGCGAAACCACGAAGCGAGCTCACTTTTCTCTCCCTCCCTCCCTGCTGGCTCTCTCTCTCTCTCCCTCCCTGCTGGCTCTCTCTCTCTCCCTCCCTGCTGGCTCTCTCTCTCCCTCCCTGCTGGCTCTCTCTCTCACCCTCCCTGCTGGCTCTCTCTCTCTCCCTCCCTGCTGGCTCTCTCTCTCTCCCTCCCTGCTGGCTCTCTCTCTCTCCCTCCCGGCTGGCTCTCTCTCTCTCCCTCCCGGCTGGCTCTCTCTCTCCCTCCCGGCTGGCGCTCTCTCTCTCTTGCAGGGTAATGGCTCTGGTGGTGGAGAATACGTTCACAGCTATACCGTGTATGGCACAGATGATGTTTCCAGGAGCCAGCCATCTTCCTCTCTTCTTCTTCAAGAACAAGGTCTGTTGTATATCCACTCAGTATCTAAGACTCGAAAGTCACACAAAATCAGCTTTTCAGGAAAATGTTTGGGAGTGCAGTCAGTCGGCTGTGTAACTGATAAAACCATATACTATATATATTATATATGTATGATTGGTCTCATAGTGTGCTATTCTCCCTCTCTTTTGTTGTGTCGTCTCTTTATTTCTCCTCTCTCCCAACCCCTTTCTCTCCCCTCCCTTCCTCCCCTCCCTCCCTGCCACGCCTCAGTTCATGTCCAACAGAGAGATCCGCAAAGTCCGAGCTCCGGCCCTCTTCCTGTCTGGCCTCTCTGACCAACTCATCCCCTCGCGAATGATGATGGAGCTCTATCAGGTAGGTCATGTGACCTCTTCTCTCAGTCACATGACCATTGCTCTCAGTCACGTGACCTTCCTTGTATGTAAACTGAGTATAATCCATGTGGAGCGCGAAACCTTGAGGTGTGAACCAATAGGCTAGCTTTGTTGCTCGCCACTTTTAAACAAAAACCACCACCGCAGTGCTTCTCTAAAGTATGTAAAATCTAGCATCATGTGACTGGTCACATGACGTCTTCTGTTTGTCATGTGACTTCCTGTCAGCTCTACGAACCTCTTCTCCCCTCTTTTCCCAAAAGGCATGTAGTTCTCCGCTGAAGCACATTGAGACATTTCAGGGCGGTACCCACAACGGCACATGGACTTGCTACGGTTACTATGACCACATCAACAGATTTACCAGCTACGTGAGTTACGACATGTACCTTTAATTACACACATGCACACACACACACACACACACACACACACACTCTCACACAAAGACACGCACAGAGAAACAATCTAATTGATTTGTTATCAATGGAGAATACAATTTTTAACTCTGCACACACATTTTTGAAACTGCAGCTGTTACATAATCACTTCCCTCTGAACGCGGAGGATCCCAGTTTACCGGCAGACCCTTCTGTTGCCACGACAACCAACAGCGGAGGAGGGGGTGCATGGGGTAATGGAAGTCCGCCCACGTCGGGAGAGAATTCAAGTATGACCCAATCTCTACATAAACAGTGGGGAGAACAGGAGAAATGACACACACACTCTCTCTCCCTCTCTCTCTCTCTCTCTCACCCTCTCTCTCCCTCTCCTCTCTCCCTCTCTCTCTCTCTCTCTCTCTCTCTCTCTCTCTCTCTCTCTCTCTCTCTCTCTGTATATACTGTTGTTTCATCTATTCTCACACCCAATTCTCTCTTTTTCTTCTCTCCTTTTCTTGTGAAAATTCTTTCTAAGATCAGGTCACTATGTGTTATGAGACTGTCTAGTATTCATATTCTATCAAACTACGAACGTTTGTTATGCGATAATTTATACGCATGCGCATGAGTGGCGCGGGTTTTTCGCTCGAGCGCGCGCTCCAGCTTCCGTTCTGTGCCTATAACAACGTTGGGCAACGCCGGGGGATAGTTTTTTAACGAGCCTCAAAACAAGAAGTCTCTGAGTCCGCCGCCACCGAGAAATGCCGACCTATCGCGTCCAGGACGCCAGGGCGCCTCCGGAAAACCAAGAGTTTGTGCGGATTCCCCGGCGACGCGACGTGTTCTTGGAGACGCTGGCTCTTTCAGTGACGACGGTTCTACTGGTGGTAAACGGAGTCTTCAGTCTTTTTAGCTGGTGGGGGGACTCGGCGTCTCTCGGGATGGGCCGCAGCGGGACTCGCGAATCGCTTACGCAGCGATTCAGCGTCACTCCGTTCGCTCCCGCGTCTTGGACGTACGCCGCGTGGAGCGTCGTGTTTGCGTCGCAGTTTGCGGTGTTGGGACACGCGTGGAGCTACGCCTGTCGCCAGAAAGTCGAGCGCGCATCTTCTCCGCTCCTCTACCCCGTTCTGTGCCTTGCATATCTCGTCAATGTTGGCTACGTGTACGCAGTCGGTCACTCGGCCGCGGAGCTCTCACTGGCGCTGATTTCCGTGGAGGCGCTCGCTTCCTGCGTCTGCGTCGCCGTCGTAGCGGTGTCGCTTCGCTGGAAGGAGACGGGTTTAGCGGACCTGGGCCCGTTCGATAAATGGTACACGCGTCTGATCTCGCTGAATGCCCTGTCGCTCTCGGCGGCGTGGACTCTAACCTGCGTTCTCTTCCACATCTCTTCAGTGCTAAGCGAAGACAGCAATCTTCACGAGGAGACAATCGCCACTTGTCTCCTTTCGCTGCTGGGAGCCGCCACCGTCAGCTATTTTCTACTGGAGGCTACAATCCTGGATCGCTACCTGAGATTCGTGTACATCGTTTGCCCGATTGTCGTCTGGTGGCTGGGCGGGGTGTTGGCGCGGCAATGGGACTGGTGAATTCGGCGACATTTCGCGTAACAATCTCTTCGCCTTCGTCCTGTTGGTCGTATTCTGTGGTCTCTTTGTGGTTCGTTTGGTTCTCATTGTACTGTTTGGTTGCTTTCGTCGACAACTTGGTGGTGGGAGCAAAGACGACATAATGGGACTGGCACTCATACCTTATTCCTAATTCCTTACACTTGTAAAACAGATTTCATTATCATTCACGTCAACACTCGAATGACGTGCCTCGTTAATCTAACAAATTGTCTGATCAATGTGATGTATGTATTGTATTACAACACCCGATGACATTTCATCACTTGTTAGTTGATGCGCCACGTGCTACAGAAGATTACCCTTGGGAAATCGCATTAGGTCAGTACCAATTGTAGCTGTTCGGGTTTTTACACAGCCAGTAACTAGTTTAATGTTTCTGCTTTATTAACAGTTTCCAAGGCAGGTATATAGAAATACATTGTTATTCAGAAAACGTTGCTATGAAACGTGTGAATATATTTTGCACAGCCAGTAACTATTTTAATGCTTCTGATTTATTAAGGTCAATAGCAAGTAGAAATAGTGTATTAGCTATATTCACTATGAAATGTGTGAATGTAAAATGCAGTTGTTCAAATTTTCAATGGTTTGGTGGTTGGCTGTGTCTTCAAATGTTGACTTGAGCTGCCTGACGACCCTTATTAATAGAGATCCTCCTATCTTGTCTGTATGGCCTCAGCAGGAAAACAAAGAACGGCTTATTGATTGCACGCAACTCTGGAGTGATTGGGACTGTGACGCAGACAGTTGGTTTGCAGTTGTGGAAGGTCATTTCCAGAGGGTTGGGACTTTCGACATAGGAATCTGTTGAAAAGAGAGAGAGCTTGAGAGTCATTACATCACTGTTTACTTCACAAAACTGACAAAAGTACACGTTTTTCTTATTCCCATTGTCTAGTCTAACCCCTCTAGCCCTGCCCCCTTCTCGTAATCCGATTTACGTGTAGTAAGAACTGAGATTGGTATGTATATTGTGGAAGTGTGTTGTTAGTCAAATTTGTGTACTTTGGTGGGGGGTGGTTTGGGACTGATGCCTCTTTATAGCTATGTAGTATGATGTTTTTCATAAAGGGGCTTGTTAATCTCATATCGTCCCCTAGCTAAGCTCTTTGGTTAAAATAATAGAGCTGGGTTAACGTTTATATACACAATGGAAACACTCTACCAATAGGACAGAAGAAAGTGTCCATAATAATTATTATAGTGTGTGGTCTATGGCCCCTGTGCTGTCAACGTACTGTCTTCTCGTCTAACGGTATAGGCTCTGATGAAGAAGTGGTTGAATGGCGATGGACAGTTACACTTATTATCTGTAGTCTGTATTCTGAGACTGGCACACACTTCAATCGACTCTTTATTCTTGCTTGGTCTGTAGAGCCTTTTTTGTAGACTCACCACTGCACGATCTCCTCTGCCTAACAATCAGAGGTGGGTAACAATTAATCGTAATGCTTTCATGCAATGAAAAGCACATGTATAATGAAAATGCCTTAAAGAATGTGACTGAATTTAGGCTAAAAACTGCAACCTAATTTGCATTCTTGCATTGCCATCTTTAGTATACACCATTTCTGAATTTAGCCCTTTTGTACTGACATGTGGCCCTTCACAGTCTTACCAGCATCACAGAAGTCATCATCGCTAATCCTGATGGTAGCCGGAGACGTATTGAAGGTGAACGTGTGCGTCTCTCCAAGTTTGAGGGAGACAGTAAATTCCTCTTCGTCCTCTAAGATACTGTCGTTCTTGATTGAGATGTTTACACATATCCTGCATCCTTCTCCTCCCCCTGTTTGTATAGTGAACTCTTCCTCTATAACATGGTAGTCTTCATCAGCATTGCTGTCCCTGTTGGCAAATTTAGTACATGTGCTTAATAATGTGACCATTAATGTGAGCAACATTTGCACACAATAAAGTGGTGTACTGACTTGCAAAATTCACTTTGATGTGCATGGTGAAAAATGGAAAAGATTGGGAAATTAATAAATTCTGTTGTTCGTTATGGGCATGCTACATTATTGCCACCATTACATCTGGCTATGTAGTGTATCTTCCACATTTTTGGAGAAAGAGCATATATTTCTTGCACTATACTATTATGTGTGTACCATTTTCAGTTTGAAGTCTCAGAGTGAATGTCAAAACAGGTGGAAATCCTTGCATTGATACATTGAAGCACACCCTTGCCACTCCATCACTTTCTCTGACAGTGACAACTGGGGCAATAGGCTCTACCAGCACAACAAAATCATCTGCTTCAACACCTGTAGCTTAAAAAAAGGAACGCTCTCTTGGAATGCAAAGCAACTTACTCTCTCTGTCTTTGACGTAACTAAAGAAACGTTTCGTGAAAGACCGATGGTGCCCGGTAGATAAAGGGCTGAAAGTGTGAGATTGAACATCATTTGTGGTCCTACCGGATACTCATCGGCTGGTATTGAGATACTTGTGCACTGTTTTGTTCCATTATACTCCAGCAAACGCCGTTGTGCCATGTTTAATTCTAGGTCGAAAGTGAGAATAGTTCAGTGTACAATACAAATACGTACATACCTTTTAATATTGCGATAAAAACTGGCTTACGACGCAGAGGTGCCAGGATACTGAGACTGTCACCACACAAGGTTTGAATGCAAAACTCCAGATCTTCACCTTTTAGTACTTCGTAGACAGTGCTATCGAATCCTACATCTGCAACTAGAGAACCGTCAAGACAGTGATGGGACCATTTTATTCCAGACAAAAATGGGACCACTACATTAATGTGACAAGGACGTCATTAGTGATGTTTCTTTGTTTCAAGGGTCGTCAAGTTGAATGCATAAACTGTTCTAAAGGTGCATGTCCTTATTAGAGAGGTGTTCTCATTTTAGGGGTGTCTTTAAAGAGGGGCTGTTTGCAATGCTATTGACATTAGATTTCAAGGATATGCTTATATAGAATGCGTGTTCCACTTTATCATGTAGAAATACTAACCATACGGATCCTGATCATCCGTAATATAGACAGTGGCCGACGATGTTCCAAACATTATATCATTGCCTTCTCCATCCACCATCTCCAGTGACACGTTGAACCTCTCGACCTCCTCCATACAGTTGTCATTGACGATGGGTATACTGACACAGTCTGGGGTAGACACGAGACGCTCCACTTCTCCATAGTCTACACCAGGTAGAGCTGTACCTGAAAGGTGATACACTTTGTTTTAGCAGAGTGTCTCAAGTATCAATGTATCTCTGTATTAGCTCCACCCATTGTTCTGGGTACGTGATCTATAGCCCTAGTGCTATGGCGTCCAATATTAGCAAACAGTATCACAAGTCACCATGAAATGGTCTAAATGTGGGAATTATGTATTGCTTCAACGAGGGAGTAAGCGAGTTTTTAATCTGCCGTATTAGTGAGCTGCCAAGACCACACAAAATGCAGACAATCAAGACGTGATTATCATACCTGAAATTGTCCTCAGCATCACGGTCAGGTTTGGTATCCCCGGGCGCTCCATGGCAACGCATACCTCGACAAAGCCGTCGCCTTCTCCTACAGAGTAGACTGAGTTCATCAGTCCCACACTGGTCCCAGAACGGACCTTCGTAACTGCCGTGAAAAAGGGACACCTTATAATAGCACAGGTTTGCAAGCAGTAGACAAACTCATAATTTTTCCACCTACATGCAGTCCTGTAATGTGGAAACTTAAGTTATAAAGCAGTATATAGACTGCAGCTTCCCAATCAGAGTTAAAACATTATTATTGGTCAAACCTATAGGCAGTGGATTTGCAGGAATGGTAATTGTTCTTAAAGAGTAAGAAATGTTGTCGAAATAGAGGCCCCGTTGTTGCATATTATTAGCTTGGTGTTATTCTAAATTGGGTGTGGGTAATTGTACATTCTTTAAATGTTTCCAGGGTGGCATAGTCCTGCCACGTGTTTGTTTTTGCTGTGTTTGGTTATTAATTTTATTAGAATATTGCATGCCTGTGTCAGCCTGTCTCTCCATCTCAACAAATCACCCCATGTGGTGCACCTGTCATTACATCATGCAGCTATACAAGAGATATGCACTGGTACCTGCAGTATCCTATTCTTTAGAGATGCTATATATATATATTCAGGAGAGGATGCAGAACCAAGTGCCCTTTATACAGAGGATGTCCTCTTGTAGATTTTAGTTCATTTTATTTCAACCAACATTATATATAGCTATTACTTACATTATGAACCCCATCCAAAGTCATGGAGTACATAATTATACATACCTATATACCAGCCATCCCGCTTTTTGCTTGATAATCAAGCAAAAATACTGCCCATCCTACCAGAAAATTGCCAAATCCCTCTTTTTGTGCTAACCTGTGATGCACCATGCCTGTACATTTTGAATGGACACACAGCATTTTTTCAAGCAAAATACTCCAAAATTGACACATTTCTCAAGCAAAGGTTCATCTGCAGGTGTGTACTAGGTAAATTGATGGTTGTGGTGGGTATTACATATTTTTCAGTGAACTATATACTACACTGCTGTTGTCTGTTGGCAACAAGAGAAAAATTATTATTTTGGTATAATAGGTTGCAAGAATTTTGTCACACTGTTGTTTGCCCACAGACGACACGGAATGCACAGTCATTGCAGCATTAGCCCAGGTAGCATAAACTCACCTTGTGAGAAGAAAGCCGCTAGAAACAGGCTCGCAGGGAGAGGATACCACTTCATATCTTCTTTCAGGGCGGTGGACAAGGTAAACTGCACCAAACGAACGATCGTGCGCCGTATGAACGGATGCTGCGGAACTCGCTTTTATACGCCGCGCGAAAAACCTGCGCATGCTCAGTGGTGTGTGCGTCAATCAATGTCTTCCTCCTCTTCTTCTCTTTCTCAGCGGGAGCTGCTCATCTCTCAGGGCAGGCCAGCACCGTCCCCTCTCTACAGAGGAACCGCTGCATCTCGCGGAGGTACCGTCTACTGCTGTTCCATGGGGTCGGACCTGGTTCACGAGTACAGCACGTCCACCTCGGAATGGAGGACGCTGAGCCCGTGTCCCGTGGCCGGATTCGCACTGGCGGTGGTGGACGGCGCTCTGTGTCTAGTAGGAGGGGAGGTACGCAGCGAGAGAGAGCCCGTACCGGTAGCCCACCTACACGTTTATGTAGACGGGGATAATTCGTGGTGCAAAGACCGCTACCCTCCAATGCCGACAAAACGCAGCTACAGCGCGGCAGTCGGCTACGGCGACAGTCTAATAGTCGCCGGAGGTCACACTACGTACGTCCGCAACTACCACACGCTGACAACGGTCGACATATTGGACACTTCAACCTTAGAATGGGGACTGGCGGCTCCCCTGCCTTGGCCTGTCCGTTCCCCTTCTCTCGCCCTGCAAAACTCCCTTCTCTACCTCGCAGGAGGCTGGGACGACTCTGGTACTAGAATCCTCAAAACAGACGTAAAACTACTTGTCTCCACCTCAGTTCCTCACAGTTCTAAACCCAGATCTAGGAAACTGGGCGAGAGTGTGCCAGTTGTTTGGGAGATCTCGGAAGAGAGGGCACCAGTTTGTAATGGCAGCTGTGGTGTGTTGGATGGACATCTTTTAATGATAGGAGGGAGGGAGGGGAGAGGGGGAGGGTGTGTGGGAAGGTGTGGGAGTGTGAGGAGGGGGAGGGGTGGAAAGAGGTGGGCGTACTGCCCGGAGCAGCAGCCCTCTGTCACTCTCTGTGTGCCAGTGTGACGAGTGGAGATGTGCTTTTGGTGATAGGGGGACTGGAGAAGGGGGGCGGGGCAACTAGGCAGGTTTGGCAGCTTCAGTTTTCAACTTCTCCCACTGCAAATTGAGCCCACGGCAATGTTGCCACTCTACGACACGAGAGGAGGAATGGTAGAGACAACTGCAGGCAGAACGCAACATGCAACATGTGTTCCCAATTTTCTGGTTACACGTAATAATATAGACTATGCAGTCTGGATACACAAAAATTGAGAGTGACAGAATAATAATGAATGAGATTCAAAAGAATATTTTACGTCGTTGTGTGGTTACTATGACAACACTAAGACACACACTCACACGAAACAATGACTGAACGATGGCGGGCATTAACTGGAAATACTTGTCCATAGTAAGATTACTGCAATGATTGCTATGGCAACTGCTGACAAAGCTCCAGTCTTAGTGCTACAAAAGAGAGAAATTGTGTGTATTTCCATCGTTATTTCGCTGAAGCCTCAAAAATGAGGTTACTAAACTAGTGTGATTATTACTAATGTATGTCCTGATTAGTGAGGTGTCCTGAAGAGGCCTGTGTAAGCCCCGCCCACTGACCTCAGCAGGGACGACAGTTTCAGGAAGAAGGCGATGAAGTGGAGTACAATGGTGACGGCCCAAGCAACAAACGTCATGATCCAGTTTCTCGCCTTCTCCATTTCCGCCTTTCTCTCTATCTCAATGTGTAGCATGGCATCCAGCTTCTCCATCTGTTGTGGAACGGTGAATACTACAGCTATAATAATAGGAACCACGCTCATGATTTACCATATTTAGTTAACCCACAAACTTACATTCTTTAACCATCATATCATTAAACGAGACAAATCAATTTGCAAACATTTCTACTCTAATACGGAAATTTGTTATGTGAATATAATGTTTCCTATAATAATAATAGGAACCACGCTCATGATTTACCATATTTAGTTAACCCACAAACTCACACATTGTGGGAACTTTAACTATCATATCATTAAACAAGACAAATCAATTTGCAAACATAATCCTTCTCTAATAAGAAAGTTGTTATGTGCATAATAATACAGGGAAAGAGTTTCCCAGGGTTAGGTACACAAAACACGTCATCATGTTGCCTGCAATGTTATGTGAAGGCCCACAGAAGCCATATATACAGCTACATGCCTGATAAGAGACCACACCCACCCGGCTCTGGTTCTCCAGAAGAAGGTCCTCCAAGTCATGTGTCTTCCCGACCGTGGCACTCTCAACCTGCGAGAGCTGTCCTCTCAGCTCCCCCACCGCGTTCTGGTGAAGATCGATGACGTCATTTACCTGCTCTTGTAGTCTCTGGAGAAAGGATAGAACGACAGTATATAAAACAATGTGCAATGCGTAAAGTGGCATTACAGTATATAGACATACATTTACTGTACAGTGAACCTTTGAACCTTGGGAAATTGGAATTGTCCGGTACTCAGAGGTGTCCCTTATTCTAATGCAATAGTATATTATATGGGGCAGAACCAAGTGTCCTTTATAGAGAGGTGTCCCTATGTATTAGTATGGGGCAGAACAAAGTGTCCTTTATAGAGAGGTGTCCCTATGTATTAGTATGGGGCAGAACAAAGTGTCCTTTATAGAGAGGTGTCCCTATGTATTAGTATGGGGCAGAACCAAGTGTCCTTTATAGAGAGGTGTCCCTATGTATTAGTATGGGGCAGAACCAAGTGTCCTTTATAGAGAGGTGTCCCTATGTATTAGTATGGGGCAGAACAAAGTGTCCTTTATAGAGAGGTGTCCCTATGTATTAGTATGGGGCAGAACAAAGTGTCCTTTATAGAGAGGTGTCCCTATGTATTAGTATGGGGCAGAACAAAGTGTCCTTTATAGAGAGGTGTCCCTATGTATTAGTATGGGGCAGAACCAAGTGTCCTTTATAGAGAGGTGTCCCTATGTATTAGTAGGGGCAGAACAAGTGTCCTTTATAGAGGTGTTTTTGTGGGGGGTGTTTTGAGTCCCTATTTATTAGTATGGGGCAGAACCAAGTGTCCTTTATAGAGAGGTGTCCCTATGTATTAGTATGGGGCAGAACCAAGTGTCCTTTATAGAGAGGTGTCCTTTTGTTACCTGAGGTTCCACTGTATTATCATACCTCGTATGTGTCCTTGACTTGACCAATCTTAGAGAGGATCTCAGAGAGAATATCTTCCATCGTTGTCACTCTTCCCTGGGTGGGAGGGAGTGAGGGAGAGAGGGAGAGGGAAATGTAAGAGGAAGGGTATTAAGGGACCTTTTTTGGAATGTGAGAACAAAAAAACAATGAGAGAAGAAAGATACGAGGAAGCCATATAAACTTGACATATGTACTTCTTGTTCCTCAAGTTGCATTCCAACTGCTTCGCTCTGTTTTTGAAATTCATCCAGTGTTGTCTTGGCAACCGTGACCTCATCACTCTCTTCCAAAACCCTGTTCAAGTATTTTGAACGACCAAAATGACAAGAAGCAGTATAACAGATGTGTACACTAAAAGTCATGACTCATGAGCCAAGAAAATTAAAAACCCTTTACTATAGTCACTCCAGAGAAGGTATATACTTCTCGAGGATATTAATTAACCCTTTTAGGTCCAAAGAGGGCGTCTTAATTAACCCCTTTGTTCCAAACAACTAACCTGATTCTGAACCCTGTATCTTAACCCTATATTCTCCACTATCAGGGAATGTTGTAATTTAATCCCCCTAGCTCACAGAGCTTCGTCCTCTCCCTCTTCCTCTTCCTCTTCAGCGATAAGTTCCACGGCGATTTTCCCCTCCACGTCCTCCACCTCCCTGAGAGCTGCGAGTCCGGATGATGTAGCGCCTTCCTTTCTTTAGTTTGTTCACCCAGCCATGTTACTGGAGGAGGAGGAGAGGGAGGAGAGGGAGAGGGAGGAGAGGGAGGAGGAGGAGAGGGAGGAGGAGGAGGAGAGGGAGAGGGAGGAGAGGGAGAGGGAGGAGGAGAGGGAGGGGGGAGATTCATAAGGGTCTAACAAACACACACACAGAAACCTCTGAATAAAAGACACCATTGGGACAACAAAAGCTATAGAGGGCTGTCTTGTCATAATCGAGCACTCACCTTTCTCACAGGTTTTGCAGTGTTCGCGGTACTCTTGTAGTATGGTTCCACCAAAAGTAGTAAATCAGAACGAGTTCAACTTACCCTATAGTATGAGTATATTATAGTGAAGTTTAATATGCATAATTACAAGATACGGCAACCATTGAAATATGTATATGTAGCTGAACTTACAAGCCTTTCTTGATGCCTCTGTGGTAAATCAGACAACACGAATGATTGCAGAAAGAAAGAAGAGAGAAAAACACGTCAGAAATTCATAGGCAGAATAGATGGAGTGTGGGGAGCAAAGAGATAAAGAGGACGTAAAATCAATTAGGTACGAAGGTCACTGATGATGGGAATAAACCCGAAAAAGGAAGAAAAAAGGCGAATAAAACAGAAAAAAGGAAGAAAAAGGTAAAACATGTTAAGTAATGGAGAGAAAAAAGAAGAAAAAAGAACGACTTACGCGAAAGGTGCCTTTAGGCCTCCTTCTATCTTTCCCCTGAGTCCCTCTTTGGCCCCGCCCTCCTGCAGTGTGGCGATGCCCTTCTGGTACTTGTCAATCTTCCTCAGGTTCTGTTCGATGGCCTTAATGTGGTCCCTCTGAACTCTGTTCCTTAGTCTGCAGGGAGAGAAGGGGGGGGATTTGGACAGAGTGAGGTGTCAATATTCATTGTGTTTAACGACTTATGGACTGCAGTAAGACCTCAAACAATGGATCTGTCCTGAATAAAGCGCACCCTCTACAAAGGTTCTCCTTCATACTTATCTCCTCCCACTAACACTTCCAACTCCATACTTATCTCCTCCCACTAACGCTTCCAACTCTGACAGTACACAAAACAACAACGACACAAACAGCTACAAACAAAAGACTCTCTCTGTTGCAGTCAAACAACTGACCACTGACGAGGCACATCACTGACCTCGTGTGGGTCTTTTCGCTGGTAGTGACCTCCAAATCCTGCAGTAACGAGGTTTGCGTCTCGCGGTAGTCTTTCTTCTCTTGGGCCAGCTGCGTCCGCGTCTTTTCCAGCTTTCTCTGGATTTCTCGTCGCTGCCGGTTGAGTCGAGACTCCGCCCCTTGACCGTGCCCCTGGGGAGAGAGGGATGGGGGTGCTGAGAGAGGGAGAGGAGGAAGAGAAGGAGAGAGTCGGATAACCGGATGATGAGAGGATGAAGAAGAGAGAGTGAGTGAGACGGGGCCTTCTTCTGTCTGTTACTGTCTGCAGGGTGCATATCCGGTGTGGCGCAGGCTCCTCCTCTTCTTTCTCCTTTCTCGCCTTCTTTCTCCTTTCTCCTCTCGATCTTTCCGCTCTTCCCTCTTTCTTTTCTCTACCTCTTATCTGTCTGCACTCTTTCTGTTTCTCATCTTCATCCTAACAACACCACAAACACCACCACACCATCAACACATTACATAAAATTGATTAGCAGCATACTTTGACTATAATTGGAGGTTGGAATAGCAACACTATCTCGATGTACCTATACACTTATTTATCCTTCATTGCCACCCTTTCCAACAAGGGTTGAACAGTTTTGCATTTGTTGTACGCACATGAGTAAACGAAACGACAAACCAACAATGCCTAACACTTTGACTATAGTTGGAGGTTGGAATAGTGGTACTATCTCGCTGTACCTAAACACTTATTTATCTCGCCTTTTTCTTTATTACCACCCCTCCCGACAAGGGTTTGAACGATATTGCATTTCTTGTAGGAAACAAAATGACAAACCAACCATCCCTAGTACTTTGACTATAGTTGGATCTGCCCTGGGTGGGATTCGAACATGTGACACTCTGCAGTTTAGGCAAGTTCTCTACCAAAGCAGCTGTATTATCCCCCCAGCGTACCATGTCCCCAGGTTGGAGTGTGGCACCAGGTGGGAGAGAGGCCTCGTCAGGCCCATGGTCCTCTGGCATTGGGCCTGGGTCTGAGGTGTAGCCGTCATCCGAAATATGGATCTTCTCTGACCTCCGCTTTCTTCTGAGAGAGAGAGAGAGAGAGAGGAGGGGAGGTGGTACAGTGACACCTCTGAATAAAGGACACCTCTCTATAAAGGACACTTGGTTCTGCCCCCATACTAATACATAGGGACACCTCTCTATAAAGGACACTTGGTTCTGCCCCATACTAATACATAGGGACACCTCTCTATAAAGGACACTTTGTTCTGCACCATACTAATACATAGGGACACCTCTCTATAAAGGACACTTGGTTCTGCCCCATACTAATACATAGGGACACCTCTCTATAAAGGACACTTGGTTCTGCCCCATACTAATACACATGGACACTTCACTATAATAGGACACCTCTGAACACATTAGTGTCACAAGTGACAAAAGGGAAAAGGAAAAAATGAAGGATGGAAGAAAGGAGCAGGAAGGGCATTAATCTACCTAAAAAGGGAAAGAGAAAGACAAGGAGTCAAACGCAGACATGGTGACTGGAAGTAAACACTGAGCTACAACTCCCAGAAAAAAAACTGATCTCCCTCTTCCAGAACGACTACTCACCTCCTTAGAGGTTTCCTGATCCTCAGTCTCTGGTACCGCTTCGTCTTGGGAATGTGAGCACTGTACGACCCTCGATGATACGTATCCTAGGCAACCACCACTCAGTATGATTATAGATACAAATTACATACATTATTAATATTTCCTACGTATGTACACGTAACTATCAGTCAGTATAAATATATATGTACGCGATAGATAGCAATGGTATTAGGCCGGA